ACAAAAGCAGTTTCACTTACCAAATGCTGTTCTATTTAAATACAAAGTCCATCCTCCTGTCTTTGTTTACAAAGTGTTCAATAACGCGGCTGTGCAGTACATCCGTGTGTTTCAGTTCCAGCAAGAGGTCCTTTTCAGTATTTCCCTATTCTTCTTAACTTTTTCAATGTGGAGCTCCGTTTCCCTGCGAACTTGTTCGTTGATCTGGAGATCCACTCGGGTCCCTCCAAACGTTTTCAAGAGCACCGTAGCTTGTACGTGTCCCGCCGTACTTTGGTGTCGCGTAGCAGCCTTGCTCAGGTTACCAAATCCAGCATGGCTCCATACACCAAGACGTTCAGTCGCAAATAACAGGCATTCCCAGCAATACAATTTGCATCTCTTCTCCGACCCCGTCAGCAAGGAATACCGTTCATAGTTTGCTGACTGAAAGTGGCGCACAAATCCTTTTCCTGGCTGGGTCAGGGCTGCTAGCTGTGGGGTTGGCCGGCCATTTCTTACTATGTCCAGTTTGTCCGGAAATGTCCTTCTTGAGAAAGGCGTTCCCAGTAACTCCGCCACTAAATCAGTTTCTCCTCCTCCCGCCATTTGATGTTAAAAAAACAAAGCTAAGTAAAAAAAAAAACTGAAAATGCCATAATTTCTTCCATATCTTTCCACTTGAACTCTGACTGCTAACAACCTTAGCCAGTGAATGCTAGCAAGCATAAGTTTCACTTTAGTCACGTGCTCGCCCACTGACCAATCACAGCACACTCTGCACCTCGCGGCAGAGCTGCAACTGGACGTAATGCTGACGTAGCTATAGGCCGGCTAGCAGGCGCTGACACGTCAAACAATACGCCCAACATGTCAAACTAAAGATCTGATTGATTGAAGACTATGACAATCAACAATATCATCCCCATTCACTTAAACTGCAAAGGGATGCACTTGTGAGTCTGCAGGCCTCGGGCCTCTCTTCTTACAATGCATAAGTAGCATTTTACTGTTGAAGCTGGTTCAGGAAGAGCTTTCAACTACTATATTTAAATTGAGGTAGTCTAATCTAGTGGTTCCCAACCTAGAGGTCAGGCTCCCTCGATGTCCTCTGCAGTGGAGAAGATGTGATGACGTTCCATACAGGCTGCCCTACATGCTAGAAAACTTTCTGCGTGCTGGTGCTTCACCACATGCAGCCGTTTTTTATTTTTTTCTGCCCCTGCACCCCGGTCAGCCTGATATCACCTATGATTCAGTGTTGCACTCATTTGTACGCAGGAAAAGAGAGAAATGGATGCGTGAAGAATGAAAATGGAAAACTGGAGAAAGAAGTTTAACTGCTGGTTACTTTCTCACCTGCACACAGCCAGTCATGGTGAGATTGTCGGTTTTTGGAAAGTTACAGCTCCTCCTTTCCTGACATCAGAAACATTTCTGAAGCTTTTGGACCATCTGACAAGCAGTTCTGATGAAGCATGCTGGGGCCTTCAGGGGCCCCAACCAGACAGTGGTTCTTTGTAAGGGGTCACAAGCTAAAAGGGGGGGGGGCACCGGTTTAGTATGTAAAAATACATTGTTTTGTATTTGCTTGTCATATGCAGTTTTTTGTCAAATCGTAATCTGAAAAGTAGTAAATATATGTGTCAAATACATTCAATGGGGAGAAATGTTCAAATGTGTGAATTGTTGTGGAGAAAATTGAAATACTCCTGTAAAGTACAAGAACCTCAAAATAGCACTCAAGTACTGCATGTGTTGCATGTCTTGTTAGTACTTGACAATGTATAAGTGTCCTGAATGATCTTCCTACTTATATTGATATTCTCTCTTCTTTCCTTGTTTCTGCATGCTTTGTAAACAGTCAATATGGCATAACTTTGTAAATGTAATCTTATATTCTATTTTTAGGTTGACTTTGTAACATCTGCACTGGGACTACAGATGAAAAATATCCTCTTGGCTAACTCTAGCGCATTTACAGGAATGTTTTATTAATATGCACTGTCCCTAACCACATAAACCATTAAAAATTATAATATTAAACAAGTAAAATTCTTTAGATCAACATTTCAGCACCTCTTGTCTTCCTTAAAGGTGCAAGGTCCGTGATTGGGAGCATTTCGATTGCCTCTCAGCGACTCTCAACATGTTGATGGCAACTTCATTCTCTGCTCAGGTATTATATCTTTACATAGATACAGTTTGGTGGCCCATTTATTAGATACTATACCTCTAAAATTGATGTCATATATTCTTAGAATTTAATAACAAAAGATGACATTGTGTGTTTCTTTGATGACCACAGTACCGGTGAGCCAGCGTCACATTCAAAAGAAAATATAATTCAAGATGAAAACCTTGTTAAAATGAATATTTTTGCAGTGTAGATCCGACTGCAGTGAAATAGGAACTCTGGAGGTGTTCTTTTTCTTTTGTCTTGTTTTTCTCGCCTGATAATCTACTTATCGCATGACTTGCTGACCTCCTACCAGAGATCCGGCCATTGTATCGTAGAAACAAATTATCCCACCGTTTCACTGTTTCCCTTGGATTCGGCCTCAGCAGCCTCTGACGGAGAAGCAGAGGGTCATTCTTCAGGAGAGAGATTAGATCTTCCTCCACTGCTCCTGCACGTTGAGAGTTCGTCTTTGAGAGGGGGAATAAAAGTCGTTTTTTCATCCATCAAATGCAATAATTTAATTTCCTTTTATCACTCGCCAGCATGTAGAGTTGTTAGCAATAAAACAGCTGTTATTATTATTTTTTTTAAAGGGGATGAATGTGAAATAAATGTGTTAACGTTCCTGGTGAGCCATAGAATCACATTGTGCCTGTTATAACAAGCAAGAAGGTCAACTGACATGATGATGGGTTTGTATGTGCCTCTTCTGCTTCATTGTAACCCCCAATGTTTTCAAACTGCTCCTCGTCCTGTAATACTTTAGCTCCATCTTCTGGAAAACACACAGGTGCAAACATCTGGCTGTCCTAAAAAATAAAAATCAGTGCATACAACCACAGTACTGCATTAACGTTAACAGACTGACTGTGGTCTCTTTACTTCCCTTTGTTTCATGTTAGCATAGACAATTCTGTATAGAGAGCTGTTACCTTGGTTAAAGTACTCATGCTATGTTTTAAAATACTGCTTAATTAGCTTTATGAGTTGATAATTTCATCAATGTTTTACAAGCTCAAAACATGGTTTTGTATGTATGGTAATAAAAGTAGCACACCGTGAAAATACTCCATAACTCCAAGAAAGTAAAAGTATTATCAAGTACTATTAGCAAAATGTTTAAAGCATCAAAAGTAAAAGTACTTAACGCAGGAAAATGGTGTCTGAGACTTATACTATTATATTTAACTGAAAAGCATTTTACTGGTGTAGTTGGTTTAGTGGTTTGTATACTTTTGGGTGGTTTAATCCGTCCCAAAACATATTTCATAAATTCATCCTAAATGTTGTGTGTAAAATCTTAATCTGGAACGTAAGTACAGCAGTCAAGTAATGCAGCGGAAAAGAAGTAGAAAGTACAATGAAATGGAAATATTCAAGTAAAGTACAGGTACCTTAGCTTTGTATCTAAGTACTTGAGTAAATGTAGAGTAAAAGTATATAGTAGAATAAGTGTAAATACATCAAAAGAGTTAAGTTCCACTATTATACTGTTACAAAATACATAAGTACACAAACACACAGCAAGCAAAGACACAACTGCTCTGGTCCTGTAATGTGATCTTGTTCTGCTTTTACTAATTCTAAATATAGAATTACAATAAATGAACAAATACATGAATTAGAATTGAGTCCCAATGCAGATGACATGTAGCCCATAGAAACGGTGTCTTTCATAACAAACGTCAGTAAACAAACTCTGATTCTGTTTGTTAAACGGTAACAAAGACAAGAACACAAATAAAAGAGCAGTGTTGACAGTTGGAATAAGTAGGAATGGGACGAATTCTATTTAGAAAACAATCAATACTTGTGCATATAAATCACATCTCAGCATCGGTCCTTAATTAAGCTGTCGGCTGAAAGATGAACTGTGACCTCAGATAAAAGTGATTATGTAACACAGGCTGCTCTTAATGTACCATTAGTGCTGCTCCTCTTTCGAAACAAGAACTCTATCTGATGTCACACATGAAATATGGTTACTGGGCCTTTTCTACTAACTAACTACAGTACAATGGTACAAGTGACTAGTCAGTACTCAAGCTCTGCTACAGTGGCATATAGTGAATGTGAAGATAAAAAGTTCTGAAAGCATGTCAGTTCATTATTGTCCTGTTTCTGAGAATCCTCCCAAAACCAGAAACCGTGTTTGAAAGATCTGTCATCATGTGATCAGTTTGTTTGTCTCCAGGAGAATATTCACTTCTTTAAGAGGGCGCCCTTTATAGATATGAATACTGAATAATATTCCTAAAAGAGGAATGTTATGGCAGATCTGTTGTGTTGGATTACATAAAATTGTACCTAATGACGTGGCAAGTGAGTATAAATATAGTGAAGTAAATTGTACAATGAAATAAAAATTGTATTTGTGTATAGTACTTGAGTAAATGTAAATGAACTGTGGCCCTCCTAATTTATTATTGTTGTAGAAGACGTGATGGTTTATTGTTAGAAAGTGACACTCATGAACCTTAATCAATCTCTTGACAATCAATTACTCAACAAACGATGGACCTGTGTGTTACCCAGTGCCTATCCCTTGTGGATGTTCACAACATGAGTTTCTGTCTCTTTTACGTGTTAAAGTGTGTAAATAAAACATGTTGAGTGTCCTTTAACAGCTGTCCAAATGAATGGTCATAATTACGCTACATAGGCTATATCATGGTATGGCTTCCTAAATCCGCTGACTTTCACATGAACGATATAAGTTATGTTATTACTCGTGAATAAAGCAGCCAATACTTCTTGTAGCTGTTAGGCAATATGTTGGGCGTGTGTGTGTGTGTGATGTGCGATGTGCTCAGGGCTGGCAGCACATCTCTGTGAAGCCCTGCCTTCTGAGATGAGTTATCTGCCGGATTACAGCCTGCGCACAGCCAGTGAGAGCTTTCTGTTTGAATGAGGAAAACATCGAGTCTGCCTGCCTGAAAGCTGTCACATGGGGCCGAGGAGAGGGGGGGGGAAACGCTTCCTGAAATGACCCTCGTCGCTAGCTTTGTATTGTTTTGGGGCTTCTTCTCTCTAACGTAACATCGCGTTTAATTCCCCGTCCGGATCTTTGTTTGCAGTCGGTGCCGATGATGATCAGCAAAGTCAAAAACGCCATGTCCACTCTCGTGGGAGGGATGATGCCGCACGGACACCACCACCACCACAACCATCACTCAGGTGGCGGCCAGACCTGCGGTCCGGACAGCCTGCCGCCGCGCTTCCCCTACGGCCGGCCGGATTTCTTGGACCTCACCCCGGAGCTCCTGCAGTACTCCACCGAGCACGCATCACGGCCGGTGCTCACGTTAAAGAGAGACAGCAGGCTTCACTGGCGGACGGGATACGCAGAGTGAGTGGCGTTCACGGACGAAATGTACCCCGCTCCCCCCCAAAATGTTTTTTTATTATTATCACCAAATATGATGATTTTATTAGTTTCCTGTTGAGTGTCAGGCCTCTGTGTTGCTGCAGCCTCAGCTGCTGAGAGCACTGCAGCAGCCAAATGATGGCCAACATGGCCTTTTGTTGTGGTACAGTTCCTGAGCGGCTGTGAATGATATTTGGAGGAGAGAGAGAGAGAGTGTAACTATAGTCAAAACGCTCCACATCACGACACGGTGACATTTGTGTTCAAAGACATTTGACATGCAGGCTCGTCCTCTAGTCGATTTAAAGAGTTATGCTGGAACTGATACAAAAGTGAAAGCAGGAAATGTCTTCCTACTCATGTCACCAACCAGCCCTTCTGTGTGTTTCCTCACATGCGTGATCGTTTTGATGATCAATACCACTTTGAGAGACTGATTCCTGATTATTTATTTGTGTTTTCCATTCACAGAGAGCCTTTGAGTCTGTGTTTGCGTGTAATAGGCTACTTCAAAAGGAAAACAAAGAAAAAGGGTTTAGTGACCATGACCGTTTGTGTGTGGATGCAGAACTGCTCATGTCTTTGTCTTTACTGCAGGTGCTCTTATACTCTAATACACCTGCAGTGCTCTCACAGGTAGAAACAAAGCAGCACCATCTCATTCACACTATTGGCCAAGATTTGCTGTTGAGGCGATTCCCCGCTGAGGAAAATAAAATCAACCACTTCCAGACATTCCACTCTCCTAGAGGAGTGGGGGGGGGGGGGGGGGGGGTACTGAATAGCCTATAGTACATATGGGCTACACCACCCCCTGCCTGTCCTGCTGCACCCAGTGTGGAAACAGAAAAAACAGGCTGACTCATGCAGAGATTCTCAAGGGGACGGGGACGAGATTCGTGACGACAAGCGTCTCAGAAGACTGAACGAGGGAGGTCAAATGAGGGTGGCTATAGTGTGGGGGAATGTGCACCGTCATCTGCATTCTGCTGCAAATGACTTCGATGTAAGTCGCCGAGACTGTAATCAGCGGCAATAGCAGTGCTGTTTACAACACAGTGTAATAGGCTGACCTGTTCAGGCATCAGCTGTCAGTGCTGGAAAAATCTGAAAAGTCCACATCCGACCCGTCAGTGTTAAATTTACAAAGTGTGAGCGGACAGCACGAACAAAAAACAAACAAACCCATAAATGAATGGAAACATCTGGAAATAAGGGCTCTGTCCTCTCTCCAAAGTGCAGCATTAATGCCAAATTACTGCTGTAATGGGGTTGTAAAGGTTGAACACTCGGATGAATATACGGCTGTGTGTTTATTTTGGATTGATTGAAGAATTTATTTACTTACTCACGCAGCTGATATGGCTCTGATAAGACTACTCGGAGCCATCAAAAGGTGTTAAATGAACTGTGATGTGCGTGGACTGATTGAAACACTGCATCACTGTAGATCAATGTGGCTGAAATAATAAATAAAAAAACCTTGCAGAGCAGGATTTATCCATTGGAGCATCTAACAGCGTCACCCCTTTTGTCCGGTGCTGTTTACTCCTCTTGAAGAGCAATGAAGGCCAAACTGTAGAGGTGGACGCTGTCCAGTTGGAGGCCGCCCTGCTGGCTTTCATTCAGACTCTGCAACTTCTCCACTTTGATACCGCTTAGTTAGAGTCATTAATGGTAATGAGAATTCATGCTCATTGATTTTTGGTATGTTTTCACTGGTCCTGATGAACCGTGTGTTGCACAAGATTATGGCAGTGAAAGCTTGGTTGTTGTCTCAGACGTCAGACGACACACACACACACATAGGGTCTAATTTCCTTCGTCAGCCTAAAATCTGTCTGCAGTTTAAGCAGCATGCAGGTTTATGCTCGATATAATGATTCTAATTGATGCCATAATGCTGCAGTACAACATCGTATCAGCATCAACACGTGAGTGCACTTAATGGTGAGCCACTCAAAGTTTCCCTTGTCGAATGGCTATTTAATACAATTTAATACAATTTGATACGGAGGCAAGCTTCCAGGCCCCGGCACTGAGATCATGAAAGAGAGTGTGGGGAGACACAGACTCATTGTGGAAATGTTTTCATGGATATTATCTCTTTCTTCAAGCTAAGATACAAATGGGAACAGATTTAAATAACTCATACGGTATATAGCCTCTGCTGTATGACTCCATATATATTTGATTATCGTCCATGATATGATGACTCTATGTGTTTTTTTTAATAATGCATGAATAAACAGATGTGAGGCGAGCACAACGGTCCAGGAGAAAAAATAATTCCAAGCTCTCCGTGATCCTGAAGAGAATAAGCAGATATTAGAGAACGGATGAGTTCTTCACAGAATCATTTCATGTTGAGATGACTTGTGGTTACATCAGGATTTTGTCATTATTATGGAAAATAGTATTTTAACGAGGTACAAGCTGGTCTTTTCACTTGTATGACGATTGATTCAACATTATTAACTTAGAATATATTTATTCCAAATGCCACGATGTGAAATCCTCTTTGAGAAGAGAAACATTACAAGACAAAACATTAGAAGAGGGATGATGGTGGCCATTGTTTCAGCTACCCTAACACACTGTCGGCCTCCAATGGTTGATCCAATAACAGCAAACAAGAGACATAAAGTCTATATTTAGTGCGAAATGTCGGCTTGGCAGAAAGCTTAGATGACAATCTAATTACAAGATAATAACTCTACGTGATATGTTTAATAATGCATGAATAAACAGATGTGAGTCGGGCAGCACAGGAGGAACAAAGCTCTCTGTGATCCTGAAGTGAATAAGCAAATATAAGAGAACGACTTTTAAACACAATCATTTCATGCTGAAAACATTTGGATACATGATTCTCTCATGAGATTGGAAACAGTTCCTGTCAGACTTAGCATTGAATGTGCAGTACCTCTTTTGTTAAAGTGGCTATAATCAGTATTTTTTATAATACCAATGTGTCAAATGACTTTGTGAAAACAATGTGTAACGTGAAATCTGCAGCTTCCCTCAGCTTTACAGAGTTTACAAAGAACTTCAGTTCATTGTTTAGTTGTCCGACCGCAACTTCACTGTTTTGGTTCACTCTGTGTCCTTTCACTGTACACTACCTCTGCTCAGCACCAAACAGCAGACAAAGGTAGCAAGTAGCTGGTGGACACAGTGGACCATTTAGCAGCTGAAGAGCAAAATGTTTCCCTCAGGAGTTGGTCGGAGAGAACAAACACAGAGCTAAAACAGAGAGAATATTGGACATAAATTCATCGGGTGGCCAGAAACAACGAATCAAAATGATGATGATGTTGTTCCGTAACTCTTGGATGTGTAAATAAGCTAACGATTTTGCCATATCAACTTCAAAAAATATGTTGAAGTTGTGTTCATAACTTGCTTCTCCTGCCTCCAAGTAGTCAAAAAGATGTTCTTGTAGGTTTAGGTACATTGCTGATTGCTTTATTTCTTAATTGAGCACAATAGAAGTGATAAGTAAAGGAAAGTAGAGAATAAAAGCCTTTTAAAGCTTTGAGTGAGTTGAGGTAGATAGCTTCAAAGTAATCGTCTCTGATACTTTGAACCGTGTTTTGTTTCACATCTCACATGCTTGAACTGACACTATTCTGTGTCCAGATCCTGGCGTGACGGTGAGACACAGTTTACGAGTTGCCGTACGTTTTAATTACAGAACCTGCATTATGGTCTGAGCAATATTCAAGTTACTCCAGTACCTGTAGTCACTGTACTGGATATTTGTTTCTGTCAGCTCTCGCCTTTCATGTGTCAGTTAAGCATTGCACCATGTGTGTTGCAAAGATGACGAGCCACTTCCTCTCCCTGAAAAGGAATTCAGAATATGACGAGACTAATTCTTTCATGCTACAGATGAAGACTTTGTACAGACATGCAGTGTTTGTTTAGCTGCTCCCCTCCACCTGATGTAACATAGTTCAGCAGCCCCCGGGGGATTCATCTTTTTCACATTCACTTGGTTAAAGACAGTCCACTCTTTTACTCTGACATGTGCCTGTGGTGTAAGCAAAAGGATCAGATACGCACCCACAGGCCTGTCTGCTCAAACAGGTACTCAGAAACTCTACTTTAACCGCTGGCTATGCAAACAGCATCATGAACAAAGACGACATACTAACACACTTCACGGGTACAACAGTTATGCCCATGTTTCAGAAAGTTTAAATGTCTAGTGAGAAATAACCAGCAACACAAAATCTGGAAGGATAATCTCAGAGGAGTTACTGATCTGCCTCTGATCGAACCACACAACTCCCTGTCAGATTTTCCTGAGTTGCAGAGGTTGACGAGAGATCAGGTGATAGTTGGTACATTTCTTAGCCACAGCTCTACATGTTACAACAGAAGTAGTCTTTTTTTTCCAGCGAGAGAAATAGTATCTAATAACAGCACAGACATTTTCATCACATTTATGACGTTAAAATGGTCCGACAGCCGCAATTACAGAATTCACTGGAACTCCCAACTTCCCCTTTTTGAAGTGTCCTGACATGATATACTGTTCAGTGGGAGGGTTCAGACATAGTTTTAGCGAACACGACCAAAAACGGTTTTCAGTCACAAGTTGTGAAAACATATGACCGAAACACAGACATGCGAAAGAGTTAAGTCACATTATAGGAAGGCTTGAGCTCCTGTTTTTAGAGTCACATCCTCCCACGCCGCCGACATTATGTCCAATTTTAGGTCATTGAGCACATGTGACTGCTTTGACAGAAGGTACTTTGCTGATTCTTTACTGTGGGAGAGGGGAAACGTCATTACACTGCAGAAATGTAGAAAGAAGACATTTATTATGTTGACAAGTGAAGTGATTCATGGTTAAATCAGGATTTTCAACAAGGAAAAACAAGTTTTATTCAACATTATTAACTTTATTAATACAAAAATATGTTTATTTAAAATGACACAATGTGAAATCGTCTTAGAGAAGAGTAACATTACAAGACAGAACGGTGTTTAAAGGTCTTATGGTGGGCCTTTTTAACACACTCTCAGCCTGCAATGGCTGAAGCATTCAATAAGAGCAAATAGAAAACATATTCTATGTTTTTTTGTGACATCTTTTGCCCTTGGTGGAAAGTTAAGATGACAATCAGGCGACTAAATTCTCCCCTGTCATTGGCCTTAATGCCTGTCTCCTGCTTTCATCTGATTAGACAGTGAAAGGGCTTTTTATAATCCAGATCTGGGCAGCAGTTGCCTTTTATTTTTTGCCTCATTTCTGCTGCTCTCGGATATCACAGCTTCAGGCCAGACATTTTCTGCAGAGATTGTAATCAACTAAACTATTTTGGAAAGCCAGAGGTCAAAGGTCTTATTTTGATGAGATTGTTACTCTGGCTTTCTCTCGTCTCCTTTGTTTGACTGTCCAGTTTTTTTTTCTCTTTCTCCCTCACTGCTCGTCTCATATTTATTTTGGTCTCTTCCTCTTGATGATCCCAGCAGCAACTGATAAATTACTAATCCGTCCTCTGCAGAAGTTTCCGAGGGAATCTTAATGACAATACTTGAATGAGTAGAATTGCGCAATATAGGCATTATGCCGTATTATTCAGCTAATGGGACATTTATCTATAATTGAAACTGAAAATGTTACATAATATGCCAGCATGAGCTCCAAACTGCAGCCTAATGTCGCAGCTTAAAGAACCATGCCAATGCATGTTTGTATGTTTTAGTCCATTTACTACATATTGTAAATACTATACACAGCTCACCATTTTGCATTTTGTTTGTTTTAGACTTTGCATTTTTCCCACTGAACCAGGAAGCCATTACTTTCCATTGACTTCAATAAAGAATGAAAATCAGTCAGTAGATTCTTGAATGTGCTATCTGTAGATGGAGCTGAGAGCGTATCATTGTGTGGTAATGCAGTTAAAGCTGCACTTATCAATCATTTTACATTAACGATGACTAAAACTACTATAAATACCCTCTGGGCTGCCCCCAAGTGGTGAAAATGAATGCAGGTTTATGGTGCAGAATGATGAACAATTGATACTCTATCCCTTTAATTCATAATGGCTTACACAATTAAATTTCAAGAACCTGCTAATTGATTTTCATAATGTACTGAAATGAACAGACCCCAAACGGTTGGAAAAATACATCCGGAAATCTAAAACTGTGTATCATGCACTTACAAATGTACATTATTTGTAGAGCTAGAACATGAAACAACCCTGGTATGGTCAAACTAAGTTGATGAGATTGTTTGAGCATGCACCAGTGGTCTGCACTGGTTCCTCCAGGGAACACTGCTGCAGTATGAACCAGTGCATTACTCTTAAGCTATTATCCTCCACAGCTCACAATAAAAACACTTAATCCCTCCTGCAAGTTCCCTCTGGGACATGACAGCATCCTGTTCCACTTTTTTCCTCACTCTTTCTCTCCCCCCACATTTTTCTGATGCTATTATATTTTCATGCGGTTAGAGGTAGTGAACACTATAAATCATCTGACTCCAGGCTCATCTTTCTTCCTCGCCTCTTTCTCCATCAGGGTGATCAATGCGGGGAAGAGCATGCTGAACGAGGACCAGGCCTCCTGTGAGAAGGTGTTCGTAAAGAAGCCGAGTGGCAAACATCGTAACTCGTCTATGCTGGAGGACAACGGGGTGAGCAAACTCCCCGAACGTCAGCACAAATGCTTAGCTGAAGGCTGGCTGGTCCAGTAAACAATTAGTGATAATGATTTCAATCTGACGTCAGTGTTCTGTAAGTCCTGAAGGTGTGTGCGATTCTTGCTATGTAGCTTCAAACACACTGTAGTCTGAGCAGTATGTTGACATTAAAACGGTGTCATCGCATGCACTGTAGTTACACCCAGTGTGTCTTCGTATCCTGTTTGGTATTGATGGATTCACCTCCAGTCCCTGTGGGACCTCTCATCTTTCCCATGTTTGCTATCATCCAAATGTTTCTGATAAACTCAGTTTTAGTAGTTAGAAAATACACAAAATAAGCACTTTTAGTGTCTTCACCCTCAGGTTGCCGCAAACACGATTCCAATTTGATGCTAATGTTGCTACAGTCAACTGATTGCTAATATGTTAGCTGTGTAAATGTCAATGTTTCGATAAAAATCAGTTATTGGAGGTTTAACGTGCCATATCTGGCTGAACATTGAGGGGTTTTTTTGCTCTCTAAAATCTAGTTAGTGCAGTCAATATAATAATTTACTTGACATAATAAATATAAATGTGCATGTGCACACACACACACACTACAGGTTTGCCCTGTTGAGCTGGTGTTTCATAGGTGACGGGGTTCCATAGAGCACAGGCCAAAGACTAGTTTATCAGAGATTGTAGTCCTGTCATCTTTCTAAACACAATGAATGTTCAGGTCAATATATCTGTTTGAGACCTATTACGCCTGTACACACACACACACACAAACACACACACACACACACACACACACACACGCACACACATTCTCGTCCTCCATTTGGTGTAAATTAATTACGTCATCTCTTGTTGCCCCCCCTCCCCCACTTGAGTGTAGCATCAGAGCGGTGAGCAGATGCCTCGTGCCTGTTTGTGTGTTAGTTAGTCAGTCAGGCCAACTGTGCCTGTAAATATGTCTTCAAACACAAAGGTGGCAATGCCTCTCCATCGGCCATTGCATCATCGCAGATCAGCAAAAAGCCCTGCGGTGAGATTTGTCCCGTAGTCCCTCCATCACTTGTGTCGATCCTGTCAGGACTAATATCAGAACAGTTTATTCTCACTGTAGGTTAATATTATATTATTGTGTTTTTGCACACTTCTGTTCAATATTGTTTATGCCATATAGATCATTAAAAGTAGAGCAACAACATTTTGATGTCCTGCCAGCTTTCAAATAATATTATAATCTAGATTTGCTGCAGGGACCTGAACTGGAAGAAGCATATTGCTTAGCATTAAAATGTTACCAGCTGCAGACCCAGAGCCTGTAAACACTCACAAAGCTGTGCCTTCTGCTCAGAGTTGTAAACTCATGGGAGGTTTTTAAATTGTTACCATAGGCATTTTTACTTTTCTTTTTTTTTACAATACAACTACTAGTTTTTACTACATTTATTTTAAATGTTGTTATGCTCATATACATTTTTCAGGATGGTACAGGAATCCCTCTCCACTTTTGGGGCGTGTTTGACGGACATGCAGGTTCTGGAGCCGCCATCATGGCGTCCAAGCTCCTTCACCGCCTCATCAGAGACCGTTTGGGAGAAGTCTGTCACCTGCTGGAGAACCCCACCAGTGCACCTCCTATCTGCCTCGCCAAGAACGGCAGCCCGTACCAGGCGGACGCGAAGAAGGGGGCCGCACAGGAGACAGGGGACCCCGACGCTGTCACAGACGCCTCAGTGCGCTTTCACATGGAGAAGGTTGTCAGTTTGGAGAGCCTGGTGATGGGAGTCATAGAGACCGCCTTCACACAGATGGTGAGCAGATGATCGCTAACAAGCTCTGTGAGACAACAAGGCAACAGTACTTTGCATATTTCAAGCTGCACGAGGTATCTGTCCACATGTTTATCTTCAAACAGAAACATTACTGAAGAGTTTAACTTAAATTCACAGAAAACACTGCGGGCTTACCATCTTAGCTGTTCTGTTGTGATTTGCACCAAAGGGAGAGAGGAGAAAGATCTTATTTTGGTCAATCTAACTTCCTTTCAAAGCTTTTTTCAACATGCTAGATACGTGGCTCACGTGATGACAATGTTGGTCTGTTTCTTTGGTCCACGACTTTGATCCAGGCTGAAATATCTCAACTATTGGATGGATGGCTGTGAAACTCATGTTCCCCTCAGAATGATTTGTGATCATTTTGGTGATCCCTTAACTTTTCATCTAGCGCCATCGTCAGATTCTACTTTTACTTTGTCCGGTCTCTTTTTATTAACATCTGCAAAGCGAATGATATTCCCATCAGCCTCGGCTGCTCTTTGTGTTTAGCGCTCATTAGAAGTTGTCAGCATGCTAACGTGCTAATCTCAGGTGGTGAACATGGTTATCTGTATACGTGCGAAACACCTGGTTAACATTGTCATTGTAAACATGTTAGTATGCTAATGTTAGCATTTCACTCAAAGCTCTGCCGTACCCAAGGGAGAAGAGCTGCAAGCATGGCTGCAAAGGGATTTTATTTTTTTTATGCCTCCACGCTGGCGACAGCCATGGACGGAGGCATTATGTTTTTTGGGTTGTTTGTTTGTCTAAAAGTCCGTCCGTCCGTCCAATCCTTTATTGTGAAGGTGATGTCTCAGGAACATCTGGAGGGACTTTCTTCGAATTCCACCTGGACTCTAGGATGAACTGATTAGATTTTTGATGTCAAAGGTCAAGGTCACTCACGTTCCTTACGTTTAAGTAAACCGAATCCGCTCGGCCTCATGCAGTCAGGAAACTAAAAGTGATTCACTGATGCAGCTACTGTCTGGTTTATATGAAACGGATAATCACCCACAGCCTATGTAATGTATTCACAAAGCCTGCTTGTTTCTCTCCTCTTCATCAGCACTGCTGTTTTGTCTTGAATATAAACATTTATGGAGAAAATAATGAGCCATTCAGGGCGCTGAGAGCTCATTAACCTGAGAGGTTCTTTCTCTTTGTATTTCAGGATGACCTGATTGAAAAGGAGAAAACATCATATGCCATCTCTGGTGGATGCTGTGCCTTAGCTGCCATGTATTTAATGGGGAAACTCTACGTAGCCAATGCTGGAGATAGCAGGTAAGAGAACTGAAAGAAGCTCTTTACTGCAGACCACATGATCAAATCTGTGTGAATGTGTTCACTCTCCACTGTATTGTGTCTGGAGCTTCATGTGGGAGATCTTCTCAGAGACAGTAGTTTCTTGAGCCCCCTGGGGTTCACTTTGAGTACTGCAGCATCATTTAGCCTTCTCCTACCAACTATCTTTCTTTCCAACCTACTCATGTGAGAAAAAAAAAGGAAAATATAGTATTGTCTTTGTGAACCTTCTCACTTCGGTCCCCCCTTCTTCTTTCCCCCTACAGGGCCATAATCATACGAAATAATGAAGTGATTCCAATGACGAATGAATTCACACCGGAATCAGAGAGACAGCGGCTACAGTATCTGGTAATCTTCTGACTTCTACGTTTCAAATACAATTATTTTAAAAACACCCGACAAATAAACTAAATGTATAGAATCTGTTCAAGGGGATTTCATAATCTGGTAAGTACATAACAAGCTGTAAAAGGAGTATAAATATTAACAGTTGATCTTTACAGTCAAATGAGGTTTTACTAACAGAAAAGTTGAGCGTGATAAGCAGGTACCCTAAAGACGAGGGAGGAAATCCTGTCTCATGCAGAAATAATGTGACGTTCATGGGTTTTAGTTCTGAGTCACCGAGTGGGCGGATGATGTTTGCTGCTAAAACAGGGAGCTGTTTCGGTATACAGCATACGGTCCTGCAAGTCTTCTGTTACACATGCAATCTTATAGCTTCTCTTCAGAGGTGTGACAGACATTTACAAGTAAAGCGTTTCATTCTGTAGTTTGACGCGACCTGCCCCATTTTGTGTGTCACTCCAGGGCTTCCTGAGGCCAGAGCTCCTGGGTAATGAGTTCACTCACATTGAGTTCCCTCGTAGGATCCAGCACAGTGAGCTGGGGAAAAAGATGCTCTACAGAGACCACACCATGACTGGCTGGTAAACACCAAGTTCCTTTTTGATCACACGTCTGACTGTTAATCACTTTACATGAACACTTTACTCTGTACTGGGTTCAAATTGCTTTTTGAAGTTTCAATCCCGAAATATACATTTTACAATGACACAAGAAATTGAGACAAGAAGCAAAAATAATATTTGAAAAACTACAACCAATGAAAAAAATGACTTGAAGTGTGTAGGATCTGGCGGCATCTAGCACAGAGGTTGCAGATTGCAACCAACTGAAACTTCTCCCGTGTAGCAAGAGTGTAGAGTGCCAACTATGGTGGTCAGCACGAAAATGTGAAAAAGGCAAACGAGCCTATCTAGAGCCAGTGACTGGTATGTCCGTTCTGGGCTACTGTAGAAACATGGTGGCTGGCTCCGTATGTAGATATAAACGTCTCATTCTAGGTAACGAAAACACAGCGATTTCTTTTTTCAGGTGGTTAAACATACTTATTAATATGATATTTCATTTCTTGCCAATGGATCCCCCTAAATGCTACACACTGTTCCTTTAAACATTACTTATCAAAGTTGTTGCTTGATAATTGTCCAGTGTTTCAGTAACTTACATCTTAGATCTGTTGGTTGTTTTCGTTTTAGGGCTTATAAGACAATTGTTGAAGATGATCTGAAATTCCCCCTGATATATGGAGAGGGTAAAAAGGTAAGAAACAGGGGGAACCCAATGCATGGTGCTCGACGAATTCTCTACAGCTGATACATTTATTGTGTGGTCTTTCAGTCTGTCTGTGCAGATTAATGAAATGATGTGGCATTTTTACATCTGTGTGTTTGTATACAGGCACGCGTCATGGCGACAATCGGAGTGACCCGTGGGCTGGGAGATCATGACCTGAAGGTGTACAACTCCAACATCTACATCAAGCCCTTCCTCTCATGCGTCCCTGAGGTGAGTGCCTCGTCGCTATAGCCACCTCGGAGCCTTTAGCATACATGTGAGCAGCTTTTGGGCCCTGGGCTTCACTTTGTCTGTTGTTGCTCAAAAGCTGTGCACTTTTGTTGCCGTTTTGCAGGCTCAGATGTTTTGCAGAGAAACAGATTTGTTCACTGCACCAAACATTTTTTCACCTTTTTATTTGAAGATATTTTACAGCAAAGCATGGGAACCGAGTGGGGTTTACGTTTGTTACTGTATAGTCTTTATGTCCATATTGTGACATAAAGACAGGTGCTCCACATCTAAAATGTTGAGTTATAATTCATCATAAATCTGTTCATACATTATTTAAGTCCATTAGGTTCTGTTTAAAACCAGTGACATCCAGCAGACTTTTAGAGATCTTCTTATAATGACTTATTCTGTTATCAATCCAAGATAAAATATAAAAAAACAGAAATAAGTTAGTGCACACTGAGAAGGTTGTGTCTGTGCAAACAACTCTTTTCACCACAGGCTTCATCAGGCTGGCTCATACTCACTTGTGACTAAATTAATTGGTAAGCCCTGATAAAGTTTCGAGATGATTCTTGAATGAAATGCCTTTTTTTAAATTTTCATCACATAATAATCCCTGACCTGTAGATATCTAAGTATATCTTTGCTTTCATAATCAAATTCCTCCTTCAATTTATTGAAGCGTATAATGTGCACAGGGCTGCAGGGCTCAGGAATAGTTACACACACGCTTCTTGCCACTCATCACAGCACTTCTTATGTTTGTTTTATGGAGGTAAAAATACTCTCGGCCCTTCTTGATAGACTTTATTTCTCATTTCCTTTTCAAGCACTTCTCAGCTCAGCATTACAGGAATATCATCAGGCCTCTGTTTGTTGAACTCATCTAATCCAACTACATCACTCGCTTGTTGTAAATCACTCTAAATAAGTGGTTCAACTTAATATGAAAAAAACATGCCCCATTTCCTGCATGCATCTTCCAGCATAAACACACAAGAACAAACAGTTATCATGACAGCATGATCAATAGAACTTCATCAATAATATCTCTTATTGTCACAGGTGAAGGTTTATAACTTGGATGAAAACAAACACGGCCCAGACGACGTCTTGGTCATGGGCACAGATGGATTGTGGGACATAACGACGGACAGGGAAGCGGCAGATGCTGTGTCAGCTTACTTGTCTGGCTGTGACCCCTCTGACCCCATGAGGTATGCCCTGTAATCCATTACATTAGGCCTTTTATTTGTTCCGTCGTGTTGTGCCGTGTGAACATGTTGCACATGAAAGCTGCAGTTTCAGAAAACCTGCGTAAAGCAGTTCTCAGTATGTCCACTCGGTGGTGACAAATACTCAGGTCTCCTGCAAAGTTGCACTTCATGTGAATGTGTAGTGGCTATACAGTAAACATTCTAGCTGGGTGATTTATGAACATGTATGCAGATGTCAGGACATTTTTAAGATTTTGTTAATGTACACTATTTCTAGCCTAATATTTGATTTGATTTCAACTGTGTAATATTATATAGAGACATTAAAGTTGTTGACAACTACATCAAAAACCCTTTATAAGGCCTTATATCTGCTTACAATATTTACTATATTTTTATATACTGTTGGGAGGGGGGGGGGATAAAATGTTACCCAACTGACTAAGTCAGAAAGGCCCAAAATCATGTCTTTAGTGACCACAAAAGCAAGCTTAATTTTGTCCGATATACGCACTCAAGTGATTGAATATGAATCTGTATTTTGTATGTGTTTGTGCTCGTCTTAAATTACAGTGCATCTCACTACTGTAATTAGTATTTTTTTTTTCTGCCCTCTGTGTGTTACTCAGGTACACTCTGGCAGCCCAGGACCTGCTGATGAGGTCACGAGGCGTGCTGAAAGAGCGCGGCTGGCGGCTACCCAATGAAAGACTGGGCTCAGGCGACGACATCACTGTGTTTGTCATCCCACTGGCGAGGCAGGAGTCAGAGACATGACAAGGTGTCGCAGCGACTGCTGTGACAGGGATGACGCCTTCAGGGTACCTTCCCACGGTACCTCCAAGCTCCCTAAACCCTCGACCGATGGGGCGGCGGGAGAAAAGAGCACCTTTGTCATAGGGGAGACTCGGATCTGATCAGCACCTTCATCAACCCAGACTACACCCAGTCCAAGCCGCTTCACTTCAGCCCAACCCAGGATCATATCATTTGGTTGTTCTCAGACATGTAACAAAAGATTTTCGGTGACATTATAAGAGATGTCACCCTCTTCCTCCCAGACCTGCTGTTTGTGACCGTCGCCAGTGCGAATTAAACTCCTCATAGTATTTTTGTTTCCTGTTAATGTTCATGGCTGGACCGCTCCTCAATCCTTTGAATGGATTGTTCATTTTCATGTCATACCCTGAATGTGACTCCCTTTTGTAAAAAAGAAAAGCCTCCCTCGGTTTCACAATCATTTTAGGGGATTGCAGCAAAGAATGTGAAGAAACCAAAGAGATGTCATCAAGGCATAAGGTTGGAAATCTGTAAAAAATACAAAACATAAAAGATAAACAAACAAAAAATCATTAGATTCATGTCTGTACATTAAAGACGCATGTAGGAAGTAAAAACAGTGGAATGGACCTTTTTGTAGCACTGGACTCAAACCGAATGAGTTGGGTCTGTATCGCCGTACTTCCTGTGTTAATGATGAATGAATGACGACACCTTGGCACTTGCAGACTGCTGCACATGCTCTGTGTTAGCCTGTTGGTTTGTGATAACCTTCCTGTTGAATGTGCTTATAAACGATTTGTTTTCTTTTTATCTTTACATTAAAAAAGGTTCCACTTGTGTTTAGTGAAAAAAGAATATGAAAGAAAAGTATAATTTGTTTAATTGAACTACATGAGAAAGTAATCTGTTTTCAGTAAATGTCTCGGTATAGTAAGATGTGATAAACTTCACACATATGCCTTATTAAGTGTGTACCAGCTTGGAAATAAATCAGAGTTTTCCCATTTGCTTTGAACTTGTTTATTTCCTCAGTCCATTACTCAGAAGGAAATGAACCTTTGATGTGTTCAACTAATGAGTCAGAATAGTTCAGAGAGCCTGTCACTGATAATTACAGTTTGACTAAGAAGAAAGTTCAGTTACTAAATATTCACTTTTTCCTATACTGACTTGTGTAATATTCCACTACAACTAAAAGTCTTCCATCCGTAACTTTACTTGAGCAATAAAATATTCCCTGCAAAATCACTCAGAATGGACCCTTCCAGTGTTATGCTATTCTATATTATTTAGTTGATTATTGTTATTGCGTTAACATGTAAGCAGCATTTTAATGTCTGTGGAGGTGAAACTCATTTTAACTGGTTGGAGAAGTTGAAGGCCTCCATTGTCCACCCACACAGGTGTTTTCACTTGTACCTGATTAGGCTTAATTCCTTTAGGACTGTGTTGACTGTGTTACGTGACAAACAGAACAAGGACTCGCTGAAAGACAACAGCTCCATAGCACTACTCGACATCGAGAGCTCCACAGGTAACCTTTAATATCATACTAAATGTTCTTTGTTCTCAGTTACAGTTCAATTCAACACAGCAGGGAAAATAGCCAATGCACAATCAATATACATACAGTATACAGCCATATAAAACAGGTATTCTAGGTAAACCAGATAACAATAAAAATCTGTGTATCTCTTCAGAATTGATGGATTACAGGTCTGTGAATAGAGATACAAGCTCTAATCAACCTCAACCTGATCAGCAACATTAACTGACAACACTGTGTGAGTGTGTAATCAATACGTTGATTGGTCAATGCCTTTTTGTGTAAAATCTTTAATTGTAAAGAAACTAAGAACAATAGCTGAAACTAAATGTAGAGTCCAAAAGTAGTTTACATTTCCCTCTGAAGGGTTGTGGAGTAGAGGCATACAAGTTAAGTACAAATACTGCAAAATTGTACTTAACTACAACACTTGAATGCATTTAGTACTTTCCACCACTGTTTTTTATTTTGTCAATCAAGAAAAGAAAGACAGACCATAATTCCGTTCAGATTATATTTCAGGTAAATCAAAGACGCACCTCGTAGCCTGCAGCAATTGAGTGTCTGTACAGATATGAAGTGAAGTATTTATTGTCAGAGGGAAACGCTGGTGAGATCCACACCCATCCCTCCTGTTGCACGAGACTTCTTGAACTACGGATGATGTCATCTTTGACCGGGGAGGGGAGGGGGGACCTGAGTGACTCGAGCACCCGCAGCAGCTCTGTCAAATTAGTTAGAAGTAACCATAACAACACCGGAAATACGAGCAGTAGCCTACAAAATAACAGTGTAAACTTTAACGTCACTTCAGGGGACAATGGTGAAAGTAAGCTACGTATATTAGTGTACAAAATAATTAATATAAAATATTTAATATTGACGATATATCATAAATCAACTATGTCACAGCAGGGGTTTTTGACAGTTGATGGAAAACAATGGACAGAATATAAACTATACCAGAATCCAACCAATTGTCCTGTAGGCTTACTTGTCTGCCAAGTTGTAACACAATTGTTTTTAGGAAAATGTACCATGTGAGCACAATATAAGGCCACAAGATTATGCAGTCTAATAATGGAGGACAGAGTTAATATTATATTTTAGTGGTATAAATGTATTTAAATATATATTTATATTAATTTAAATTATCAAATGTAGAACTTTTGGGGGCCCGGGGCAATTAGTGATCTAACCTTGCACCAAATCCCCTTAGGCAATTTACTAAAAAGAAGAAATATTGTGTGGTCCTATGTTTTTAAAGATTTCAACACTGTTGTATTTTCTAGAGAACTTTATATTATAGAAACAAACTAATATTTCATGTCACATTCCACATTCATATATAATTATTTGTATGACTGGAGGCTCTGAACTAATCACCTGTGTGAAGACGACGGTGATGGATTCTAACCGTAACGACCTATCCCTTTTATTTTGAAAGTCCTAAACGGAACCGGTTGTCAGTTAGCTTCGCCAGCTTGTCGGTGGGAGGATCTTGCTCGCCTGCCCCGTTTCTCAGCACCTTCTCTATATAATAAGCGAATACTGCAGCAAGAAGTGACTGAGTGTGTCTGTGTGTACGTGTGTGTGTGTCACGATCGAGACGAAAGCGGGGGGATTCATATTTATAAAAACCTCTCATCTGGCTGCTGACAGGTAATTATGAAGCTGTAGTTTGACTTGACTGATTATATGGCTCACTTATTAGGTGAGAGAACAAGGTGGTGGCTTGTCCTTATACTGACATTCGCCTTTCTCCTGCTTAGGTGGTAGTTTAATTCCTGGCTGTAATGAAGTAGATAACCAGCGTGAGTGTAGTTGTGTTTCTGTTACAACTGTTGATGGCCTCATTGTTGGTCGAGTTAAAGTCAACGCAGCAGATCATGTTCTTGCAGTCTAACTGCTGCGACCTCAATAAGCACCAGCATGGCAAATCTCCTAATTAGCTATTTCTATTCCTGGGAGCGTTTCATTTCCTCATTATTAAGACTCGCGTCTCTTGGAACAATGATTTGCAAACACAACAAGATAAAAAAAAAAAAAAGGTGAAATCTGGTTAGTTATTTGGGCTGAAAACGCCCACATTGGCATAAAGATGTGTGTTTAAAGAAAAGGTCTGATCACATCAATTTAATCTGATTGAAATAGGAAGGTCACATTCATAACTTCAAATTCACAATAAATTATGACGTATTGTCCTCGTCCTCCTGAATATTTTAGCTGTAATGGCAAATATATATTCTTAAACTCTTGCAGATAGATGTTGACCGCAAAACGAGTGCTAAAACAATTTAGTCAATTATCATTTTAAAATGTAATATTTTTGTGTTTTAATAGATGCTAAGCAATCAATACAGCTGGATATGAGCAGGTTGAACTCCACACTTGTGCATTGTGTGTCTGCTAAATGTATTCTTGCTTTATATATGAGAGCTACATCAAACGATTGTTATTATCTATGAGTTTACCGATTATTTTAAATCATTAATTTGGTCTTTTTGGTCTGTAAAATATCAAAGTAGTGAAAAATGTACATCAAAATTCTCATAGCTTGATTTGTCCAATAGACAAACATTTATTTGCCCTTTATAGAGTACTTTAGAGCTGCGTACAGCAAATCAGCATCACTTTTGATAATTGATTAATTGTTTAAATCATTTTGATTTAAGGCTTCATATTGAGCATCTTTCATAATAATATTTTTATGTTTACTCTGTAACTGCATTTGCTGCTGCTACAAACAAATCCCCCCCTGATGAATAAAGTATATATCTATCTATGATGGTAAAGTGTATCTTTGGCTTTGTCATTGCAGGTCAGACAAAACAAACCGTTTTATTATGTCACCTTGTTCTTGTGAAGTTGTCATGGTCATTTTAAACCATTTCCTTTCATTATAGACCAAGTGATTATTGGATTAATTAAGAAAATAACCTGCAGATGAATTGCTAATGAACAGAACCGTGAGTTAAATCCTTTGCTGGTCCCTCGTGTGCACACTCACGAGATCTGGTTTGTCTTCTTGTCACCTGAGTTACTGAACAGAAGTGAGTCGTGAGGTGTCGGTTCTCTCAAAGTCGTGAGGTGCACATCCTCGGCCTCTTGTCTTTCAGTTTGGTCATAACATTTTGGGAAATATCTTTCGGCAAGAAAGCAAATGCATGTATTTACCAAAATATTTGTTGAACATAAAAATCGTATTTAACTTTTAATTTCCTTAATTATCTTTGTAGAGTCAGAGTTTTCTTTCTATGGGTAAAGAGGTTATTGTCCTCAAGGCGCCTTAATGGAGATGTCACACCTGGTTTTATTTTATGGGCTGGCTGACTTTGGGTACATTTGGTCATTTCCATGGGTGTACCAGTAAAGTTCTGGCTCGATGATACTTAAGGAGCTGATGTGCTTGTAACATACGCCCCTAATAATGTAAGAAGCTGTTGTGCAAGAGAGCTCAGCGCTCACATTTCAATTTTATTCACTTGAGTCATGCAGCTCATACTCAGGAATCTCCTCGTGTCCATAAATGCTTGATCCCAAACAGCCTGAAGCTTCCTTTGTAAGAGTTTTTGAGAAGTCACCTGCCATCTGCTCCTGCATGTGATCTGATGTCAGTGCCTCCTGTCAGATAAGATGCTTTTTACACCCAGTTAAAGGTGGTGTAGACAGCTGTTGTCTGCTCTGACTCAGCCACAACCTCAATTTATGACCTTTGGCCCCTATCTCAGACAGACGGATGTGAGGCTAATTATTGCGTTACCTTCTTATCTAAAAGTTTCTTTTTTTTAAATGCGCCCTGTTTAGCTTGCGCCTCTTAGAGATAATTTAGTAGAAAATGTGTTGTAGTTGGAAAGCCAAAGACGCCAGAGGACATTCCTGTAAAAAGCACGTCCCTGAAGTACTTTAAAAGCCATTTTTTATTCTCTAGTAAAATACATTCTGCCTTCTTCCATATAGATTTAGGCTAGACTTGTAATCTGAGTGAATGCTTTATCTGCCAAACAGTCAAAATCCAGCCTTGGTTTTATTGCTCTGTTAGTTATGAAGCCTTCAATCTATAAGCAGAGTTTGGCTGAGCTCCTTGACAACTCCTGTGTAATGGCAACAACATCAAAAACCCAGGAAATAACTTTTCAGTGTTGCTATCAGCTGATCTGTAACGCCGGGCTTTCTGTGTCTAGTGTATAAAAGAAAGGGGAGTAGCCCTGAGAGGCCTGTTGGACGAGCAAAACAATTCTACACCGACTCATTTCCTGTAATGCGTTGTTTACAGGACCTCGGAACAAAAAGGTCGTCATCTCATGAACAACAGGCCTTTTATTGGTTGGATGATGGTCTGCGTTCAGCATTGTTGTTGATTTAAAAGTCATATGAAGATTCACTGGTTTAGGGTCACGCTCTGCTCTGTGCTAACTCTGCTCAGCTTGTTGCATAACTCCTGTTGGCCCCAATAAGCCTCAGGAAACCTCCTTAGGGAAAGAGAGAGGTGGTGTGCTCATTAACACGGGGCATTGCTCAAATAGTTGTAGGAAGTGATGGTGCTTTGCTTTCCTTTGTGTTTGAGTGGCTCCTCATGTTGTGTTTGGATCAAGTTTAATGTGTGCATTCTACTGTCTCAGACTGTCTACTTTACAGTGGCCAGATCCTTCCATTTGGAAGCTGGAACTGGCAAATGTGCAGGAGTGCTTGATAAATTACTTAAAGGATTAATAAATGATCAGAATGGTTGGTGGTTGACTTACACACTTTTTTTTTTCTAAAACTTGGTGTTTAATTAGTGTGCTTTTATTTTGTTACCTTTTGGAGAGAGCTACCGGTTTCCCCCCGTTTACAGTCTCTATGCTAAGCTAACCGGCTGCAGCGGGTAGCTACAATCCAGGAAGTCCAGTTTAAGTAACAGATGTGTGAATTTTCAAAGGCTTTCCAGAGCCCAATACACACTGCAGTGGTTTATAATACTATGATACTTTATTTTACACAATTTTATCTTCTGTTGAGACGACCTTGAGGTAAACTTTGGCACACAGCATTAGAACAAGCTTATTTCAAAGGGTCACAAACTGAGAAAATTGGAACCACTGCTGGAAGATTGGAGGGAAGTGCACTGATAACTTGTATAAATAACTCTTATCACTGCATGTGGGTTTCATATTTGTTCTTCAGCTAGTTTTATAACTTATAGAAGAGATAAATGACTTTATTCAAATAAATACATCTTCTAAAATACCAGTTGACTAAAGTTCAGTCAGTTTATTCTGTGTTATTTAGTTACCTTTCCTCATAGTATGTCTCTGTGGTGTTTTAGCCTGTAAGTAACACTCCTGTTGCTGCTGTCTCAGTTATGGTTGGTCCTAAGTCAACCTCGGAATGATGGAAGACTTTATGAATATATTCTAGCATACCTCTTTGCTCTGGTTGTGTTGTGTTGTGTGGAGTCACAGCAACGGGTAAATGAACACGAATGCTGGTTACGTAGAGCCGACAGAATGATGTTGAGCCGTTCCTGCTCGCGTGACACCTTTGCCTCCATTAAGTAGTGTGGAGGTCAAAGGTCACACAGCTGATACTGGTTGCAGATAAGTGGTGCCCTTTCACATGTTGTGATTACATCAGGGTGACATCAGGCTTTGATATGAATGAGGAGCGGCTGAATGCTGGCTGAGACTTGAACAGGCTCGATGTGAATGGCGGATAGAGTGAAATCGGTTCCTGCTGGCAACCACTTAAACTTCCTCATTTGTTGAAGTCATTGGCGCCTAAATCGAGAACATTCGTCATGGACAGTACTGTGACTATGGGCCATTTTCACGCATAATTTATTTTTGCAAATGTGTCTAGGTGTTCCTTCATCGGTTTCCAATATCTCTGCCACAAAGGACGAGCTATCATTGTGCAGAGCCACTGTGTGCATGTATTTGTGTGAGTAAGCGTGCTTGCGTGTCTCTGGCAGCCCTCTCTGTGTCCCGGCTGTGCCGAGGCCTGTCCAAACACAACTGCAGCCAAAATCTCCTCCTGGGCTATACACAGAACAGGAAGTGGATTGTTGTGTTTCACAGGGTGGGCCTCGGTGCTGCTGCTGTCGCCCACTCGTTTGGTTTTGAACCTGCCATCTCTGGTCCAATTGGCAATCTCTGGAAATCTAAAGGTATTGTGCGGTTTCTCTGGAATCGATAGTCACTGCTAAAGTGGAAGCCGTCTCTGCTCTCATTAAATATTCTGTTTTTCTTGTTGAATATAATCTCATAATAGTTGAGGCATTTGCAACTATAGCGGAAGTCAATGAATAATTTTTGGTCGTTATTATACAGCATATGTTTAGTAGATTTGCTTACTTGTCTTTCAATATGAAACACGTGGAAACGACAGGAGTGAGCACACTACCAGTATTTTCTAGAGCAGCCTTAATTCAAATTGAGTAACTGCCGTCTTTTGGCCAAACCCGTGCAACTGTAACTCAACACACTGCACCAGAGGCAGTGGGTCTTTGGGCAAAAGGAAGAACATGTGAATAAACCATTACCAGAACTCCCATGAGAAGGAATAAACCCAAGAAGTTAAGGAAACCGTCAAATAAGCGAACGCACCCAATTTTTCCAGTATGGCTACTGGTTGTGCCAGTATCCATGGAAACAGGGCCACTAAAAATTTCTTTCTTGTTTTCACCTTTTAACTAATTTGCAAGTCTTTGTGCTTAGCTAAGCTAACTGATTGCTGGCAACAACTTCATGTTTACTGTACAGACATGAGTTGTATCAATCTTATTATTTAATTCTCTGCAAGAAGGCCAATGCGTATTTCCCGTGACTGTATTGTCTGGTTTCATTTTCTTCATGATGTAAATTCAGTTAGATAGGTTTAGTCTTTGCAAATGTTAATAGGTATTGGGTTTAAAATGTCAGACTGAGATATTCATTTTGCACAAAAGTGTGTGCCCTCGTGAGGAGGATCGCTGTCAAGACTGTCTGGCAGAAAGTGGATGACTTGAGGAGCCAAATGACTGTATGCACAGCTGCTCCCAGGCAGCAGGGCTCCAGCTCGTCCATCAGCTGCACTGCTAACTCATCCCTACGCAGCCTGCACCAACTCAACCAGTCCTCTCATCTGGGCCTAGAGCAGGAATGCTCCTTGGTTCTGTTGGTTTTATTGCATTTGGTGCACAGGAAACCAGCAAAGCTTCACACTTGGCAGACCTGAAGCGTTGTTGTGAAATAAAACCCTGCATCCATCTTTGTTTGACATGGTTTCGGTGGTAAATACTTGCATGGTATTTATTTTTCGTCTGCAGTTTATACACATGTTCACAACTCCCTTAACCACTATGTAAGCAATTACAGCTCAACACTGTGTGCAGCAGGTTTAGCTTTTGGCTCTTTAATGCAAAGTCATTTTGAGAGAATCAGGGTATTATCTACTACCTACAGAGTATTTCTTAAGAAGCATCTGGAGAGATCGAAAGCAGGACAGTGTTTTTGTCTGCTTTAGGACACCAGTGAGTACTTTACCAGCTGCTCTGATTTCCTGGACGCTTTTCTTTTCCGCACACATTTCAGAGGGAAACAAACGGGGAGGAGCTATCAGGCCTGATGGCACATTCCTTCGTGTCCCAGTTTGTCTCAACAACCCCCCCCCCCCTCCTCCTGTTTTTCTCTTCCCCGTCTCTCCGCTATCTTCCTCCTTCTCCTCTGTTCCTCACGTCGCTTTGTAGTCTAGATTTGTCATCTTCTGATTCGAGGTCTGTGACTGCAGCCGTCTGTGACGACGTGCCGATCGGGGAGCGCTCCCTCGGGTGATGAAGAGCTGTCAGTCAGATGTCAGAGTGGTCGCTTTGGAGCCACACAGCATGAGCAGATAAAGTTTTGAACAACATCGTGTTCTCGATTCATCTCGTGTTCCTGTGATCTTTAGAAATAATTGAAATATCTGCAGTGTAGAATACACAAATTGGATGACAAAGTGTGACTATGTAGTTTGGCTTGTTCCTAGTGTGACAAGCAACATCTCCCATGATGGCAAAAAAGTTCCTTTTGTAGTACTGCTGATCACTTTGACACACCACCGTTTTGTTTTTTTTGTATGTCTGTGTATGACAAATTCTCTTAAAAGCTCTCCTCTTGTTTCCAAACAGAGATGGCAGCCATTCGGAAGAAGCTGGTTATTGTCGGGGATGGAGCTTGTGGGAAAACATGTCTCCTCATTGTTTTCAGTAAAGACCAGTTTCCTGAAGTCTACGTTCCGACGGTGTTTGAGAACTACATCGCTGATATCGAGGTTGATGGAAAAAAGGTTTGTACATTTGACACTCGTGTAAAGCAGTCCAGAAGTGATTGTTTCTGTAGCGTAGAAAGTCTTTCTGCCATAAACCAACACTGATCTTGGAGTAGTAATATGAGTGACCTAAATGACCTTTTGCTTTATAAAGAGAATCTTGTAAAAGAGGTCATACGTGTGCACTTCATGGCTACATACATGGTATTGCACTACCGAGGCTAAGGCTGCTTGTCCTTTACCATTTGATGATCCATGTAGAAGACATGGAAATACAGAAACGGCATTGTTGCAGTGCTAACTAGTCCGAGTATTAGTTTGATAAGGGAAAATGCATGATCATACTGTTTTTATTCTACCATTGTTTGGCTGCTTAACTTATATACTTGGACAAAAAGAGGTTGGATTAATACTTTATTGCTTGTATTTATTCAAATCTTGAAGTGTAAGTCCATGAGCACCTTATTAATGTGGAGAAATCCAGAGCTGGAACGACGTTTCACTGATCCACTACTATCTATATGCTATAAGAGAGGAGTTTACTATAGCGAGCAATCATTTCAGATTTGGGACACTTATTAATCATGGGCTTGTTGAGTCATCATTGAACTGTAATGTGGACACTTAAATGAAATGGTGGAGGGTAAATTAAGTGCATTAAATATTTAAATAGTAGGGCTGCACAGTATATTTTTGTATCGCTATGTCAACTTGTGCAATAAATACATTTCAAAAGTTGCGCTCAAGGATTTATTTATTTTTTTTAATCAAAGAGTTGGAGTTGGTTGAAATAGTTTCAACGACTGTTTATTTTCAGGTCAATGCTCAATTTTTTTTAAGACAAGAATGTTGGAAATAATGCCATTTCTGTTTAAATCAACAAGCAATCTGTTGTATTTTAGCAGTATACTGAAAGCAGCAGAAAGGCAGAACTGAGTAAACTTTATTTGTTTATCGCATGTTAGGTTTCCACTATATTCAACAAAGTAGTTGCATATTTTCCTCGTATTGTTCAGCCCTGGTAAATAGTTATTTCAGACACAGTTATGAAACCAACTACGTCAAACTCCTGCTCCCAAGTGTGCGTGATGTCCTGAATCTGACTCACAAGGAGTTGGTCAGCGAGGTTCGAGTCTGAGCAGCAGATGGCTTTGTTTTGTTCTCTTGAGCCGACCACTGCTGCAGGATCACCGCTTGCCAAAACAGGAAATGACTCTACTTCCCAGCTTCCTGTTCAGACGGGGGAACAGGGATGTCTCCTGGCAATCCCTCTCCACTCGCCGGGACCCTCCTGCCCGATAAACGTCTCATTTCCTGTCCTGGTCGCATTTAAGATGGAGGGGTTAACTGTTGTGTGCTGGACAGGAAATAAAGAGTTAAGGATCCATGATGGAAATCGGTCTAAGGGGGATGATTTTGGTAAAGAAAAGTGTCTGCCCTTTAAGCTATCCTCCTCTAACTTTCAAGAGCATGGCATAACCAATTAAACAACCAGTTGGATTAGGTTTGTGTTCTCAGCCCATAAATTTGACTCCTCCCGCCCCTCAAGGATAAAAACAGTTTCTATTTTGCACCGTCGATGGATTGGGCAGCCTCTAAAAATAGCTGGGTTTTTCCCTCTTTTCTTTTCCTCCCCAAAGTCTGCAGCGTACAACAAGTCCAGGGCGAACATAACTCCGGTTGCTCATGCAGCCACCTCCTCCCACCCTCTGCCTCTGCAAACTTCTATTTTGGGACCGTTAACTGATGCTTGGGCTCTCTGTGAGCATACCACAATCCATTGTCATTCAGCAAAGTTACAGTATTTAGTTTGAGTTTTTTCCCCCTTTTTAACACAACTAAACGTCAACTAAAGAGCGTCTGTTGAAGCCCGTACAGGGACAGAAGGTATCTGGTTTGATGCTTGCTAATCTCCCACTTTCCCTAATTGAATTAATCGGTGGTGTGATGGGAGGCCGTCCCTGAGTTCACTGAGAACGTAACAGACTTGTGAAGCTGATCAGGTCAGAGCTGTAGAGGTGATGAGAAGGAAATATCTAAACAAGAATTCCAGCTGGGGTAAAACATAAAAATGATTTACTTCAAAGTATTTAAAGCATTGGCATTTTGGGGGAAAAAATGCTCGGGTGCACCACATGCCTCAAGGTTCATACGTCATACTCCAAATAGTCACGGCTCTTCGAGTATGAGAAAAGAAACTTCATCACTAATGATGTCTTGACTGGTTAAATCTTTGTGTAATCACTCGGAACAGTGAGCAACTTTATTTATTTTTAATGGTTAAAATTGGAGAATTTACAACATGTCGTCATTAAAACAAATCATGTAGAGAATCTAAAACCACCACCATCTACAGTGCATGTATTTTGTTCTTACTATTTTTTTTTTTTTTATTTCGTTATTTCTCTCAGGTGGAGTTGGCCCTGTGGGATACTGCAGGCCAAGAGGACTACGACAGGTTGAGGCCTCTCTCCTACCCCGACACAGATGTCATCCTCATGTGCTTCTCCATCGACAGCCCAGACAGTTTAGGTAAGGAACTGCTGACATGCGTTTTGTATATTCAAACAGGTTAGTCTGAATGGTATTAACCTGGCTGCGACAGAAAGATGACTCGTCTGTCAAAATTATAAGATGCCTGACTTGTTGTTAGCATGTTTATCCTCACAGAATTGAGGCAGTTCATATGAGCGAAGCAAGCGGTTTGTTAAATGACTTGATGGACTTGATGGGAAGTAGCGCAGCTAAAGGCATCTTTGCCTCAGGCTGTCTGCAGAGCAATCCATCATGAGAAGTGTTGTGCGCCGTGACTCTGCACTGCCTGTCCTTTCTTACAGCCCCCCCCCTCTCTCTCTCACGAGTGCTTCTGCTCACTTCTTGTCTCTCTCTCTCTCTCTCCCGGGACAGAAAACATCCCTGAAAAGTGGACGCCTGAGGTGAAGCACTTCTGTCCCAATGTCCCCATCATCCTGGTGGGGAACAAGAAGGACCTGAGGAATGATGAGCACACACGGATAGAGCTGGCCAAGATGAAGCAGGTACTAAAGCCTATAAAGGTCAATGAAGAAAAGAAAAGAAAGAAACTGTGGACTGAGGTAATCAGGGAGAAGTAGGCACTTCTTCAATACTTGAGCACCAAAGGGCTGCTGATCGGTAGAAACCTTTCATTAAGGTTCAGTTTGAAGTCTCTATCTGAATAATTTATGTTCATATTCATGACAAATATTGCTTCACCGGGAGATAAAGGTGACAACAGCACGGCATTAAAAAGGGGCTGCTTTGTTGACATGTTACCTCCAGATACTAGTATGTATCAACAAAAATAAAGTGCAAACATATGAAAACTATTGATTAGGGAAGACGTTGAGCAATTTTCTAAAATACCAATAGACAGATGGAACATATTTGTTTTGTTTTTTACCTGAGAGTTAACTTCCCTCTGTGACAGCACTCTGAAAAAGGCTGTTAGCCTGTCAGTCTTACTATATTATATATAACAGCAGCATATTGGTTTACTGGGTCACAGCATGCCACTGTGGCCCGTTCTGTGTCTGTCTCCAGGCCCACCTCATAATAGCAACATGTTGGCAAAGCTCTCCAGCTCTTTCAAACTCCATCATCAGCTTTTCCTTTCTGTGGCAATCAGGAGCCGTTTGACAAAGAGTAGCACCAAGTCATCAGTTCAAGCGTTTTGGATCGGACGTGGTCGCACACAGACATTGTTGGTCCGACATGTGTAAGCTATGATTTAGCTGGGAGGGTTAGTGAAGTAGTATGTAGTCGAGTATCTGATCCCAAGTGTTAAACTGATACATTTGTCATCATTTAAAGACACAGGTGCATTAAATTCATCTTATGTGGTTTTATAAGGGCCCGGGCAAACAATATTGGGATGGGCAGGTGGACTGTACATGTTCAGGGCTGCTACAATTTATCAGTGTTTAAATTCCAAAGATATTCAAATTACTGTCATGTATGACAAAAACATCAGCTGAAACCAGAGACTCTTTGGCATTTTTGCTTGAAAAATAACTTGATTATCAAAATAATTTTCTGTCGATTGACTGATTAATCAGTTAATTGTTGCAGCTGTAATCATGCTTCACTTTTTAAAAAGCAAGGATCTCCTCAGCATTGTCAATATTTTTTTTTTTTTTTTTTACTTTTTAAGCAATATGACACATTTACTACTGATCATTTTTGTACATTACCTCACATCAATTTCTGCTCTAACCATGCAGGAGCCAGTGAAGACAGAAGAAGTCAAAGACATGGCCAGCAGAATCAGTGCTTTTGGCTACTTGGAGTGCTCTGCCAAGACCAAGGATGGCGTGCGGGAAGTGTTCGAGATGGCCACTAGAGCGGCACTGCAGGTCCGCAAGCCCAAGAAGAGAGGGGGCTGCCTGCTGTTGTGAGCGGTCCAGACGCCATAAAATCAACTGACCAATAGGAGGAAAAAAAGAAAACGCACAAGGACTGACCTTTTTCCAAATTAATCTCGCATTTCACAATAACGGCCAGGCAGTGAATCAAATGCAGACAAACTGAATACAGGAAATGAACTTTGTCTTTACAACAACCGTGCTTAGAAATTTGTTTCAAGTTCCTTTTTAATTTCCAAAATGCATCTTTACACAAGGAATGTTTTCCTACTTTTTTCTTTATATCTGTAATGTAATGAGGCAGTAATAAATGCACATATTTGTATGCAATATTGCTCATCACGAGCTTGAGCAAGCAGCATCCTTCTTCGCTTGTATGAAGTCTTCATGAGTAAAGTCCAGACTGTCCTGTCAGCATCACTTCTGTTTATCAGGGTAGTCCTGCTCTTTTGACCATAAGAGCTAGTGCCTTTTTTCTTTTGTTTGTTTTTTAAGTTTATACTCGTCTATTTCTAATTTGTCAGCTAACATTTCAGCTGAGGGTGAGAACAAGCCAATCGAGACGCAAGCCAATATGACTCAACTATGCACAATGTGTGTTGGGTCCAACAGCAGCTGAAACTGAAATGAAGGCCAAAGTCTGGAGAAACCTCCCTTGTTTTGTTCATTGAGGGTGACTCATTTCATCCTTTCTGTTACAACTCAAGGGATCCGGTCAGTCACGCCTGGCGTTGGAATCTGTGTGTTGGACCCATTAGCCCAGTCGTGGAAACCATGTCTTATTCGAGCTGTTGGCATTCGCATGTGGATGTTTCCAGTCGGATAACATTCTTTACATGTTGTTGAGAGGACCTGTGTGTGTGAGGAGTTTGTTCTTTCCCCGGTGCCTTCTCTGTTGCGATGTGCCTTTTGGTTGTTCTCTCCCAGACCAGACAGACCACCTGCTCCATGCCAACCCGATACTGACCGACAAGGTCAAGAGTGACCTTTCTGACGTGTTTCACAAAGCTTGCTTATTTGAATTGCTCCTAACACAAGAAAAATGTCAGTTTTCTAAAATGTCAGACCTTATAACATAAATAAGATTTCATCCATTAATGCCTCATTATTATCTTGACCGGTAAAGCAGGTTACACTGATTTACATCACATACTTTTGCATCAAGAATGAATCATGGGAACATTCTCTTAAAACATATTTTCTACATCATCTCTGGAAAAACATGTCTGCAGCCATAAAGATTGTCTTTAAGGGCTAAGAATGTTTTAATGTTTTTTTGCTGCCAAAAAAAGTTGGTACAACTGTGGAAAAATGGAAATGGGGTTTATTAGTCTGTCTTCATCCTGATCTATGTTAATCTTAAACTTCACTTCTTGGCGAGAAACATTTGTCTCACAGGCAGAATATCTTCAAGGGTCCACACTGAATATACTTAAAGCAGCTTTTGGAGACATGTCAGAGACCGTCAACTGCTCCTCTCAGAATACTCCATTTTGAACTTGAGCTGAAAATATAACAGCTTGACATACAATGGCTCAGAGTCTTCATGGCAATCCTTTTCTCCGCCTCTGTTGCTCACTGATGTACTGTACATGTCCCTTGGCTGCATGTTGTGGTTGGTCTACAACGAGGGTGGATGTTGAATAATGTGATATATTTTTTTTTTATTTTGCATGCAACTTCTTACAATGCCGGTAATGGCAACAAACCTAACCAAGTGGCAGGATCTGTATCTGTTGTATAAAAGTAATGTCATCTGTAATGCAACTTGCCCTCTACTGGCCAGGCACATATGCTTTCACAGCTAGTTCTTTCCCCAGCTCAGATGAGGCGTTGCTTTTGATCACACACATGCACCATATTAATGTTACCTCAAACCTTTCTAGGGTGGCTCTGGTGTTTTACTCTGGACTTTGTGCATCATTGTGGACGACAACGAGCACACAGACAAGGCGAGAGTAAACGGATCCTTATGCCTAAAAGGTTTATCAATGAAAACATGGGTCTTGAGTTATGCATTTTCATAGTTGTGGCATGATGTTCACGGGTCTCAACAAGCTCGATGCCAAGGAATTCTTTGGCATTAAAGGTCAGCAGAGACGGTCAAATAACTTTCGCAGCTGGAGGCAAAGCATGATGATGAAAGCATTCCCTCAGAACAGCAGAGGATCTAGTGTTGAACATTTCACCAAGAGCATGTATAATACTGCAGCTATTGTGTACACAGATAATGTTGCGCTATATCAAAGGTTGTCTTAATGTCGATGCATGCATGAGAAAAAACAATGGGTCTTGAACACACACACACACACACACACACACACACCAATGGGAACAGCTTCTGCTCTGTGTTGTGTAACATATTTCTTTCTTTCTCTGGAAGTATTTAAAATGATAACGGATACCAATTTACATAAAAGTTCATTGTTATAATGCTTTGTAATCAACTCGCTGTAGTGACTGTTTGATATGAAGTGAACATTGTTAATAAACTATTTTTGAGACAAGACTGACTCGCCCTCCCTGGTCAATTCTTCTCAAGTATGGTTTACTGTGCAAGATGCCATTAAAAGGTGACAATGAATCAAAAGGTCCTAACATGACAATGTGCACCACAGTATGGTTCAGACATGAGTTTATTTCTTCAGGCATCAACTATCAGGAAGAAGTAGATGAAATGAAAAGAGACCAACTTGTTAAGTGCAAACAGCAGTAAGACAAACGGTGATGTGTTCCTGAGAAATTGAATCGTCTGCTACTTATTTTCTCACACAGAACTTTCATGTTAAGTGGCAGCTTTATTTAAAAAGCCACTGAAGAGAGGAAGAGTCGAGATTTACTGAATCATGATTGTGGCCGAGCACCGATTGATTGACTGCAGCAAAGTAAGAGAACTGCTCTTTGAAAAGTTGATTAAAAGGATATATTCTTAGACAGAAAGTGCCAATGTTATATTAAAAGCTCAGAATAGATGCTTGCTATGCATCTTAATGTACGTGAATGTAGAAATCTTGGACGTCACTAAAAATGGTTCTTCATTTTATGCAAGTCGTCTGAGGGAGATGTTAATGCTCATACTGCTGGAGGGCGCTCTCCTCTTCAACAGGATCTATGACAAATGCAAAAAGACACTTTAGTTTATTTCATGTCTGTCTGTTTTACAATTATTACTATTGCAGCTATAGCTAATAATGATATGACAAAGAATCACTTAAAGGCCATCTGTTTGAGTTTAACTGAGGTTATCGCTGTACTGACTGTCGGAATCCATGTTGATTTTCAGGGTTGCAAGTCTTGACACGATATCATCCTCTCCTTCCGCGTCTTCAAAGTCAAATCCAGTGTAACCCTTCTCCTTCACACAATAGCTGATGAACCTGCAGATGAAAAAAAAACACAAATTGTGCAGAAATGGATGAGTAGTGCTAAAGAAAGAAAAATTAAATTTGGACATCTAAAACTCCATGGCAACTGGGTAAACTTCCTCTGCTGAGGAAAATGTGTGATAAGCTCCAGAACAGTTACTAAATAGAACTTGTGAGGAGTTTGTTTAGTCCACTACTGTTTCCATGGCCAAGAATGCACTTTAAACCTCAATAATCACATTGTCCATACAAGGCTCTAAACTCGGTCTGTAAAACTGAAAGAACGCTCCTGTCGTATCGCATCTGACAACTTGGCCTGCTTCGCCTTACTTCTCCCAGGTGGGGTCCTTGTTGAGGATCACGGGGTTTCCCACAACTATCAACAGGGACCTGGCTCTGGTCAGGGCCACGTTGAATCTCTGCAGTAGATGCGCACATATAAGAAGAGAAAGAGATGAATATATTAAAGATCCTGCTGGTTTCATTATACGAAGAAAGGAACATCTAACACACCTTTTCATTTGACAGGAATCCAATGTTGAAGTCTTTGTCCATCCTGACGTAGTTGACGCTGCTGCGGACAGTAGAGACCATGATGATCTTCCTCTCTTGTCCCTGAAACTCCTCCACGGACCCCACCTGATAGTGTGGAGAGAAACAGCCAAAGTACAACATGTGATTTCATATAATATAGTTGTGAATAAACACAATCCTTATTTATTTCCTTTTACATGTGCATGAAACAGATGAACAACCTCTTTTAATGTCCCTGTATTGATTCTGTGCAGACTAACCTTGAGCTCTTTGAGATCACTCCATCGCCTCAGAGCTGAGACGGACTTCAGGGCCTTTTGGATTTTCTCGACCTGTAAGAAAAGTAAGCACATTACCGATGACGAGTTCAGACCGTTTATCCACATCTCTAAAAGCACAAATGAATGCCAGGCAGACTCACTTGTTTCCTGTAAGGGGCGATTATGCCAATGTCTTTTGCGGAGAGTTTGGGGAGACCCTTCTTTCCTTGTGTTTCCATCAGCTTGGTGAGGTAGTCGACCAGAACTTCAATCTCAGACACGTTGAAGAAAGAAGGACTGTTGGCCTCTCTCTCGTCTTTTCCCATCACCCCATGGAAGATCAGGGGGAAACCCTGTAGTGATGAGAGCGTGAGCAGCTGTCAGCTATCCATGTTGTCCCCATATGGTGTACATGCTATTTGGTGGTCTGTGTACTATATTTTAACTATGTCCTGTTTAGTTTTAGTTGTTTAATCTCTGCTCACTTTTGTTTCATGCTCGACTGTCCTCTTCAAATAGCCTTCTTTTTTATCCGACAGAGTTTTCTAGAATTTAATTTTTGCCCCACTTTGTTTCCAAATGAGACTTGTCTTTCAATAATAAGATCAGATTTGTCGTAAAGATTGTTGCGTTGTCTTCTGTGGCAGTCTAAGGCTGGTTTCTGTATATAATATGGGCTATGACTCTGATAACAATTAAAAGGTACAATTCAGCAAATTAATATTGCACTTCCATAAAGATTGGGGACTTTCAAGAGACAGATTGGCAAATAAAATGGTCAAAATCAGTGAAGCAGAGGATGAAATATCCCGACTTAAAGTAACTCTAATGGGTCAACCTTTAAAACCCCTGAAAGTTTTAAAAAATGAATAAACTCAATATCCTTGCAGCCACACCTTTTTGGGAAGGTGTTCCCAGTTGCAGTAGGTATCACGCTCCCACTGGTCAGCAAACACCTGTAGTTCATTCTCATAGAAGAGCTCATTGGGGATTTCCAGAATGGCAGCATGAGACCTGAGTGAAGAAAAGAATGAAAAACAAGAACGCTGAAGAGCTTTAATTAAAACTGTAACAAGCAAAATGGAGGTGAAAACTGGAAGACATACCTGTAGTTTCGCAGCAGTTTGGTGACAAAGCGGGTGTCAAAGTGCCCAGAGTCAGTGCTTTTCTGATATAAAGTGTTGTGTTTCATCAGTCTCTCAAGCAGAGAAAGCCCTGAAGAACATCATTGTCACAGCATTACATTTAAACCATTGAATCATGTGGTTAGGAGACCAACAACTACTATCAGAATGTGCTATAGAACACATTAAGACAAGATAAGTCTCACCGAGTCCATACTGCAGTGCAAAAGGTGATCGAAGGATCGGTCCCAGCTGCTTGGGATCTCCTGCCAGCACCAGCTGACCCTTCTCTGCACTGAGCAGACCTGTAACAACAAAGTCCAACCGATCAGGAGAAAGATGCATCACGTTCACCACTGGACAAGCTCTCACAAACTCGGACCGGATACATTCGGACCTTTAATCATAAGACCACCTTGACTGAAACTGCGTAATGTGAAAGGACAGGCAGATGTGTTAGAGTTAATGCAGATCTACTGCTAGTCTGCCGTTTGGAGTCTGGAAGCAGTGAAAAGCTTCTCTCGGACGTCTGGACCACACTTTTCCCAATCTTTATATATTTATGTGATCGGCCAATCCATGCATAGTTTCTGCAGCCACAGTCCAAGTGGTGAAAATGTACAGAGCTATAAATGGTTGTCTTCTACATTCCTACTGTCGCTAGACAAATGAACTGTGCTGATTGCGCTGTGTTGGCAGCGATAAAGAAAGCTGTGTGCTTTCAGAGAGGAGGACAGGAGGAGTGCAACACAAATCTGGATCCAGTTCTGAACAATAAACGAGGAGACATCTGTTCAACTCTTCCTCTTCTCCGTTACAAGACCTTATTCTAAGCATGTACACTCTTTCTTTACAGTGGAACAGAAATGATGACATTCATTTCTAGTATCCCCAACAGAAAAAATCATAATAAAAAGAGTCAGATTTGATCAATATTAGACCCACAGTAAGTAGGATATCATCTCATAAATCCTGCCTTATGAATGGGAACACGTTTTGTGTACTGTATCAGTGTGTATGCATCTTAAAAATATGCCTCTGTTTTTAACTCTTTCATCAACGTTTCAACAACAACGAAAGACGTGTTGTAGTTTACTGATAAGTCAGATAATCAGCATTTACCTGCAATAGCAATGACACACTCTGGCTCCACTGCCTGGCCTCCTTCATCCAAAAAGATATGGGTAAAATGGCCGACTGGCATTCCTCCAGACACCAGCCTAAATACAGAAGCACACATTTTTAATCATAATAAGAAGTGTAACAGGAAGTGTAACACAGCTCAAACTAAAAGGATGATGCCAAGGAGCCAACTAGTGCGGGATACTGAATAATTACTGTCGATGGAAGCAGCTTACCTGCCGGCTGTGACCATAGTTGTAACTATGATCTTGTATTTCATCAGAATTTCTTTCACTGGAAACACAAAAGCATCTTGTGTCTGGTTCCAGTTGCAATTTTTCTACAAGAGACAAAAGATGAGACAATGTGTTAGGGCTGGGCGGTATACCGGTTGAACCGGTATACTGGTTTTAATTTCCCATATGATATGAATTTTTCATATACAGTCATACCGGTGCACAGCCGAAACAACTTCTGTTGCTCTTCAACAGGCAGTAAAATATATTGTTCGCCACTGGTAGCGCTACGGTCGGAGCTAGTTGCCTTAAGTGTATTGAGAGGGACCCCTAGTCATGGTTATAACTTTATAATAACAATTAACAACCCACAACTAAGGCTCTTTAACAGAGTAAAACACCACGACACAACAGTTTGTGACATAAACAATTTGTAACACTAATAATTGTACATTCATAAAATTTCACCGCCAAACTGCATGCTGGGTAGAGCTCGCTAACAACAGTCTGCTAACAGCTGGGAGAGGCTCTGTCGCTCCAGTAACGTTACATTAAAGAACAGAAAAGAGCGATGCAGGATGAACAAAGACTGAACAACAAAAGGTATTTAGGTCAGACACATATGCAACGCTGAATACCGTGTAATATGTGTGGTATTTGTTATGAATGTACGTTGGTACATAGAGGGTGATAAGAAGCTGTATGTGGAGGGGCTTAGGACCCAGGGGAATGTAGGTGAAGGAAACAAGGAACAATTCTGTTCTTTACTTGGATACTCGAGACACATCTGAATCAACAAACATCAAGAATCGTTATGATCAAACTGGTAAACTCTGATATTAATCACCGCGATGAGGAAACTCGTTGAAATGCGGGACTACTTGCTTTAGTTACTGAGACACGTAAACTCTTTTTTCAATTTAGGTTTTACTTTGAAAATCAAAATGTTACAGGTCCAACATACATCTTAGTTAATTAGATGATTTGTGTTATAGGACATCCAAAGCTCAAATTTGTTTATGGACAATTCACCAGCAATCAGAGCTGGTTTATGGCCAGTAAGCAGATTATCCTGTGGATGTAGAAAGGTCAGCTGATGCTCACCAGCAGGTTCTTGGGGACGCTTCTTGGGTCTCGGCTGCTGGCGTACACGCGGTAAATCTGAGCAGCATCCGTGTGAACCATCAGTCTCTCACAGAGGAGGTCACATGCACTGTTTGAAGGTGCACAGGTGAGGATGCGGGCTGACGGGTCTGCTCTGCTGACCTGTCGATATAAGCAAAGGAAAATTCATCACTTTTATTACCCACACATTATTTTGATGCTTTGCTGTTTCATGTGGCTGCCTCTTCGTTTAACGATGAAAAGCTACCGACGAGTTTGAAAACATACTTTGTAATATTTTACTGATATGCACAACAATCAAATCGAAAAACTTAAAACACCTTATTATTGCCCCGTTGCAATATAGTGAGAGGCTGTTAATTCATTTTCAGACTGCAGACTAGCAACGTCACACCTTGAACACTTAATACCTGATGCATAGCTTCAACCAGAGTGATCGTCTTTCCAGTTCCAGGAGGTCCAAACACGAGATGAGGGGCGGGCTTTGATGATCCGGCCACAATGCGCTGGACCGCAGCGTGTTGCTCCGGGTTGTTCTCCAGAAGCTGGTTGAACATCCTGGAGAGTAACAATATGAGAATGGATCTTTACACACTGGTGAAACACTTTTAACACTGAAAAACATTCAAAATGTGGCGATGAAGACCGTATTTGTATCCATCTGTATGATGAGATGGTGAGTTTGTTACATTCAAGTCCAAGCAGTTAACAGAGCACTTTGTCTGGTACGTGTACTCAGCCAACATAATCCTCAATATTCTGCCCAAATCAACTCAAGGCAAGTTTATGACATTTAACCAAAGAACAGCCTGTTCTTACGATATGGTGGATAAGTGCCCAGAGAGAGATGAGGCAAAGGCTGTTGGGCACACGCGATCATCATACACTCTTATCACTAATGCCAGACAGTTTAATCTCCTTTGCACTATAAGTACACGAGATACAGACTTTAAGGTGGTTTAGTTTTGTGTGTTTGTAGATGATACTACATAATATGTTTTGGTGTTCTGTATGCGTGAACTTTATGTGTATAGGCACCACACCTGAGTTTAGGCATGGAGAGATTAGCCACTGCTGCACCAGACGGAAACAGCACCTCTTCAAGCTGATGCTTTGCCGCCAAGTCCACCGCCCGATGTTGCAGCTTCAAGGAGTACCGGTTGATGGTAAACTCAACGTCAAACTTCATATTGCTGATAAAAATCTGCAACAACCTGAAGTGGGTGGAAAATGAGAGGAAGGTGCTTTAATCACCGTCTGAGATGTAGACCAGGTTTCGAACAGACAAGTATCCGTAGTCCAGCTCTTACCTCTTTGAGAAGCCCAGCTTCACACTATCGAGCTCCACTTTGTGAACATATCCAGTGTACACAGTGATCGGCTCGACCGTGTCTCCTGATTTGGACACCCTGAGACAATCTCCCCGTAGTACAGATGGCCGATTCTCAGCAACACCAGGAACCTGTTGGAGAATAACAGCTGTGCTTGTTGTTCATGCCAAACACTGAGCTTTCTTCAAATCAGCAAGCTTTCAGAGGACAACAACAACATCAAAAGAAGCAGAGGTTATGTAAAGCAGTAGATGTGTACTGTGAGGATTCATTTACTCTGAGTATGAGCAGTTTTTTGTTGCTTTGGTCTTGAGTCACGGTCTGATCGTGGAGGTCGTACTTCCGGACGTCCACCTCCATCTGGATCTCTTCCAGGTGTAGCAGGAGGTGAAATCGCTGAGCATACGTCTTCATCTTCAAGGAAGAGTTGAGGAGACCCCTGGGCATACATCACACACACAAAGATTGTACTGATGAGGGAGTTAAGCCCAGAAAATACTAGATTAGCTGTAAATAATTAGGTCGGTTTCTCACTTTACTGAAGCCAGTTTCTGTCTAGCAGCTGGAGAGAGGTACTTAGAGTCCTCCATCCTTTGTTTAGCCAGTTCCTTTTGGTAATAAGGGTACTTATATTCTCCTAATTTCACTGCCGTCTTTGGAGGGACTCCAGACCTGCAGAGAACAAAACACAAACACATCATGCATGACCAAAATAAAATGTCTGTAACCCTTCTGGGTCCATTTGTTGATCAATTTCAATTACAACTGAAGAAAATTGCTTCAACCAGCTCCCAAATCCAATATTTGTACTAAAAGCTGTAAGAATGAATTTCCTGCTGCTGGTGAAAACGATCTGTACTCATTCTATTTGGAGAGATTAAGACGATAAGCTGCGTTTATCTGTTACACTCAGTACAACATTAATTCTTAAAGGTGCTCTCGGAATTCTGTGTTGAGCAACTTTAACCTATGGGACCAACATGACTCTTTTTCTTTAAGAGTAACCAACCAATTGAGCATTACACTCCTATAACATTGTAGGACTCACAACGGACAGTTCAAAAGTATAAGAATCAAATGGTAGAACCAGAGATAACATCTTTTTAATTCATTTTTCTTGATCAAAACTTGGTGGAACTTGAACAGTTCGGCTGGAAATTCTGGCGTGTTATGCTCGTAGCTAGCAGCCTCAAGCTGAGATGACAAGCAGGCTACATGGGTTGAGTAAGCCCACTTCTTTCTAACTCCACAACCACACTGATGTTTTCACTTTCAAACTCGTAGTCTTTAGACCCCAACAATGCTCATTTAATAGATTTCATGCTGCCCCCTTGGTCCCACAACGTGTCAAATCTGTGGAGTTTCTCTCTAACAATGGATAAAAGTGAGATTCTATTTTGAGTCTTGAACTAGTTTGCGATCCATGTTTTATAACTTACCCCTGAGGAGGTACTCCCTCCACTATCACAGTGTTGACAGGCTTGTATGTGACCACCTGAAATGGTTTGTAAGGAGCCACAGGCCCCAGCTCCACAGCCAGAGGGGTCCTGGCTACTGCTTCCATCTCCCTCACGATGCAAAAGGGCACGGATTCTGGCAGATCTGGGCAGAACTCAAAGTACATCGTGGCAGGGAAATATCCATAGTGGTTCAGCGTGTACCGAACCACAACCTCATAGCTTTCTCCTGTGAGAGAAAGAAGGCGGCAGAGGAGGAGCTGTGAGCGTTAGTTACCTCTCTTCAGTTGTTTTAATTTGATGAAAACAGAGCGGAGGAGCGTTAGCAGTCTCACCGGGACAGAGGAACAGCGGACAAGCCCGGTTCACTCTCCTCTCGTCCTCCAGAGTGAAACAGCGGATCTTGTGCAGAGCAGTGTAGAAGGTGAAATGTATGCAGTTTGGGCCCGTGTTTAAAATGTGGAACTTGAGGATGAACACCTCCCTCAGACGATCCACAGTGAACTGAACCTTTCCACCGCTCGCCACGGGGTCTGAGGTGATCTCAATGCCCCCCTTGTCAGCGGTCAACTTTTTCCTGTAAGAGAGAGTGTCATGGTCAGGCTGCAGAGATTACAACTGTAACGCCTGTGACTGTAACATGGGTGCAAAAATACTGCTGATTGTAACTTTCCCAGTTCGATTCTGGCTGCGGAGCTGTGTACGTCAACACTCCCCCCCCCCCCACCCCTCTCTTTAGCTTCATGTGTTTGTTGTCAATAGAGTCTGTTCAATATCAGATGAATGCTAAATTGTAATAAAAAAAATGTACATTTCTTCAACATTTCATCTGGATCCCATTATTTCTCTTCAAGGGTTTTTATTAAATTTTGATATAAAAGTGAATAAGGGAAAGAGAGAGGGGGAATGAAAAGCTCCAAAGGGCCCCAGCAGGATCCCCACTGAGGACACAGTTCATGTTTGGTACATTCACCTCTAGTCCACCAATGCACCTCTAGAGAGGTCACCAGTCTGTCACAGGACTGACACGTATAAACAGAGTCCGAAATTCACTCCGATGTACAATTTAGCCTGCGTGTCTTTGGGGAAACCCGCACAGGCTCGTGGAGAACATGCAAACTCTGCACAGAAAAAAACGCCCCGGCTGACTGCCATGTTTGAACCCAGAAAGCTTTTTTGACAATGCCAACCACTGCACCACCATGCACATCCTTATCATAAACAATACCCGTGACAGGTTCTTAATAACGTTTATGGAGGACCACAGTCCAGGACAGGAGGGCACATCAGTGGGTAATTAAAACGGCCCAGAACATCAGTGATATTGGTGAAATGAGGGGCCTGCGCAGAGCCTATACTTTATATACTTTGTTCCATTTTACTGCTTGTTTTATTCTATTCTAATTCAAAATATTTGAGTGTTAGTCATATTCTCTGTGTGTGGCAGGAGGGGCGCTTCAACTGCATTTCATTGTGCAATCTTTTGTGACAATAAAGCTGAACCTTGACATTGACATTGAAATGCGGCAGCACTAGAACAAGCCGCTCACACACCTGTTGTCATGCAAGAATGCAAGAATCTGATTTAATGTCAGTGCACATGGAAGAGCTGACAATATAAATCGACTTTGCTTGAACCAACTTGTCAAAATGTCTCACTTGATACATTTTTAAAATAGCCTACACCGACCTGTCCACCTTCAACTTGTGAATGATTTCCGTAGCCAGCTTCTTCTTCGGGGTCAGCACAGGTTTCATCGGCGTTGAGGGGCCAGAGGAGGGTGAAGATGTCTCATCAGTCTTCGGAGAGCCAGAGCCTGGAGTGCTTGGGGGCTGAGGGGCCCGGGGCCTCCTCCATTGGTCACAATACACTCGAGCCTACAGTGGTGATTTAAAAGGAAAAAAAAACATGACGCTTCCTCATTTCTGTCCAGGCTTGTTCCCTCACAGCACAAGGGAAGGAACAGCGCATCCTACCCGAGGTTTGACATTTATGTAGATCTCCCCCTGTTTCATGTGGGCTTTGTTGCATCTCAGTAGAGCACGTAGGACACTGTGGAAGGTGGGGTCTTTTATTCCTTCTCTGTGGACATAAACACACACAGAGAGGGAGTGGTATTATCCACAGACACGGCGCAGTCAAACCACTGCATGCGACGCGCGTTAACGTTACCTGCCCTTAAATTCAGAGTTGTAGATGTTCCGAAGTTCTTTCTTGCTGGTGGTGGATATTCTGTCTCCCAGAAATTCAATGAAGTCCAGTCCGGATTCCAGCGAGTCTTTAAGCGACATGATGGCGTGTCTCCTGGCTCAAATGAGGAAGTTCGCCGGCTGCCCAACTATCGCCGTCAATTTCCTCAAGTATCAAATGTAGCTGTTGCTGTGAATGCGCCGCACATTTCCACGTCACGTATTTTGCGCGTGTTGCGCAAGTTTTCATCATACGGAAGTTAAACTTTGCCGTTGATTTATTTGTCAGAACCCATTACACGCATGTGGTCATAACACCGCCATTGATTTCTCATTATTATTATTATTTTTTATGATATACAAAATCACTATTTTGAACGACGGCCTAGAAAGGCTACCGGAAGGGAACGTCTGCAATTGTTTTATATGCGGAAAGCGAAAACACCTCAGCGGCAGAACACAATACGGAGTTGAAACTAACAACTTCAGCGCAAAGTCTCGTGTCTTTATTTATCAAAGCTCAGCCGTTGAATTTCCCCACCAGACTATGACGACGAGTATAACACATCCTCAGACATGTTATTGCGGACACTCCCTGGGCTACCTGTCAGCAGAGCAGAATGTGTGGAATCGTGTGAAATGGGCGTTTCCATCTGATACAAATGTATTATAATCATTAATACACATAGCTTTATTAAACGATTCACTATAGCTAATAATGGATAATATTGACGACTAGAAAGCTTGGAAATTTCATGTCAAAAGATAAATAACGTAACGTTAATCTATTGATTTGTATTAATATGTTTTCATGGATTACTTTAAAGTGAGTTCTTTGTAAATGTTTTTTGTCCAAAAACCCAAATATTTTTAATTTGCATTATAACGGTGAAAAGCAGTACATTTTCACATAATGAAGTTTGGGACCAGAGAACACTGGGGTTTTTAATTAATCAGAGTTAGGGCTGCAACTGACAATTACTTTAATTATTTTATCATCTAATATTTTCAATCAATCGTTTGGTCTATAATCATCAGAAAAGATCAACATTGTTGCTGTATATAGGGATAGATGTTTATAATATGTCCTAGCTAAATGCTGACACAGAACCACTAGAATTATATTCTTCATTCTTCATACTTAGTTATTGACATGTAACATGAAATGTAAATACTGTATATTCTTCATTATAATGCAAACCTCAATGAAATTTGAAACACACAGCTAATTTTATTTCAATTAATACCGTCTTTTACTGAAAAAGCAGTCAAATTGAGTCTTAAAAAAACAAGAACATGTTAGAGTGTAAAGTCCTCAGGTCAATAACTGCCTCAAATTCGCAGAGCCCAGATGAAAACATCTGGTGTCCAGGCTCTCTAAAAGAAACTCCATACATGATGTAAAACACAAGCGATCACCATTGCTTGAAGATCATATTTTTATTTCATGAACAATAAATGTACTTACAGTTTGTATAAAAAATATAGCAAAAGCTAAAGGCAAACAGCTTTTAGGAGGACACCAATACTGTATCAGCTCAGGGCGGTATAAAGGGATTATCACCAAAAATGTCTCTCAACAACAAGGAGAAGTGAAAGACCTTCAAGGAGGGAAGACAAAATATGGTCAGTGAATGGGAAAAAAATGAAGCTTTGGCTACAACCCTGGATCCAGAGGGATACATACGTCTAAACAGATGAGATCTTCAGATGTCATGAAATTTGGTGCCTTAAAGTGCCGCTCAGTTAATATATCGAATTGCATACAGTATTTGCCCTCTGTTAATAAGAAACTATAGGAGGTATTGGAAGCTCTTGAAGAATATCAGTTATGTTATATAGAGTGTAAATTAGTTGCTACATGAAATTCAAGGGGTTTTGGGAGAATGTGTCCATTTTGAAGCACTGAGGGATCAGAAACTAAGTGTGTGTAACATGTGACTGAGAATTTGAATAGCAGGTAAACAACCAAACTTTCACAGTGTTACTAAAGGCATTATTTGTTTGTTTTTTAAAAAAAGTTATAGGTTTGCAAATGAGCGAGAGTAACATCACTCAACGTCTTTGTAAAATGAAGGCATCTCCTCGTAGTGCATAACGGAAGCTGTCATTCTCTGTTAAACCCCCTCGAACAAATGTCTGTTTTAGCAGGACATACGGCACGTTACGTTGAGTCACACATGTCTGCGCGAGCATCGGCTTCTCCCCGATTTGCGTGTCGTAACCCAATCAGCCTCTTTGTCCTCTAAGCATTCTGCATCTCTTTGCCAATCTTGTAGCTGAGGATCTTGTTCCAGTCGATCTTGGTGCGGGTGACTGGGAGCTGTCTGCGTAAGGCTTTGAACGTGGTGTCCGACATGGTCTGATAGTTCTCACTGATGGCCACCTGAAGGACAATCAAAGACGAGCACGTCAGGCATGAGTAACATTGACTTTTGTGGCAGTGTTTGTAAATGTGTGAGCAGTATTCTGTATCTGGCTTACACGCATGTGTTGTGTCTTGTATACTATGTATGGCACAATAATAAAAATGTTTCATCCACATACGGGGGGGCAACTCTTGTTTTTCTTAACTCCCACATACCTGGTACTCATTCTCTGCATCCTCAATTATTTTCACAAGCTCTTTTGCAGTTTGGCTCTCATTCTGCCAGAACATACATTTGTGGGTTAATTAAACAACTCAAACACACATCAACATAAATCAAATGTAAAAATACTCAAATAATTCCATTCAATGATTTTCTACTTGATTCTGGATAATCAATACTTACCTTTGTCTGACCATGGTTAAACAAGAGTCTTCAGCTTACTTATATCGCTCTTAAATAGAAAAACTATTAATATGTTAACATACTTACAGACACAGTCAGCGATTCCTGTACGTCTTTATGGCTGACCAGTTGCACATTTCCATCCTCGTAATAATGTACCTGGACATGAGGAAAGAGGAGACGCAAACAGTGAAACAAAGAGAACTTTACAGCGGAGTTCAAACTACCGTGTTAATTACTCAACATACCTGTATTTTCAAGACTCCGACCACTTGTGCTGTAGATTGCGAGACACTGAACTTCCATTCAGACCGGCAGCAACCGTTCCTGGAAACAGAAAAAGTAAAAGAGTACACTTGAAAAAACGATCCCGAAACACCACAACACACTGCCTCCACGCTGCAGCAACAGAATTGTCTTAGTGAATTTGATTAAAGAGTTTAAAATGAGATCATTGTCCTCTATCAAATTACCAGAAGTTTTTAGGCTCGAATTGATGGCCCTGGATACAAGCGATGATGGTCTGCTGGCCATCAATTGTTTTCCCATAAACCTGAAGCAGATCAAAAACACGATGAGCGGGTGATTCATTGCGTGTATTGCCAACTATGGCCATGCAGACTAGGAGAGCCTTCTTACGGTGCAAACTCCACTGGGGTAGTGCTCCTTGACGTAGGCCCTCAGGGCAGAATCGCAGGCGTCTCTCCAAGACTTGAGAGCTGACCCGCCGTCGTGGGGCTGTGGGTCACTGGCTTCCTTTCTCAGGTGGTCAAACTTGAAGGAGATCTTGTTGTGAGGGTCAAAGAAGCGACCGTTCCCCAGGTCTCCATGCTCCGTTATCAGGACCTTCAGGGGACAGACAAACCTGCCTGTTACTCGGGAATCGTCTTTATGACGTAGAACAATGATATTGACATTTTAGTGGGTTCAATGAGATAAAGCAATTCATTTTTTTTTGAAGAAAAAGCTTGCCTGATCTTCATATCCATCAATCTTTGCAAGAATGAACTGATCCATGTTGTACTGGGCGAAGGCGCTATATCACAGAAATAACACAACCACAATTTGCACGTACATCCAGAATATAATTTTTTTTTTACTACATATTAAAAAAAAGAAAATTATGAAACTTACTGAGCCGCTCCCTCTCTGAGAAGGTTATCATTGTTGAGCAGTATTCGCACATCTGAAAAAGAGAAGAAGAGCATTCACAAATTGTTTCCATTCACATTAAAGCGCAAGTAGTCCTAAAGACGTTACTCACAAACAGTGCTCACCATTGAAGACTTCATTGAACTCCCCTGGGGGAGAGTGCATCACAAAATTAGCTGCAATACGGACCTAGAAGTAAATAAAATATCTTGTCATGAAACTTAAAAGAGGAAACACATTATCACGATATACAGTGTGTAACTTATCGGTTCAGTTCCCCTCTTGCTTAAGTAAACTGTGGTAGAGCAGAAAAACAACAGTCTCCTCTCTTGCCAAAGCTGGTGTTTTTTGGGAATATCCAGCTAATTTATTCTCCTTTGAGATATAGTAGGTTTATGTACAGGAGAAATGGGAAAAACTTGCAAATAGCCACTAGAGTGAAGCAGAGAGCAGTCTGCTATCTTCCTTGGCCACAGGGTTGTTAGCTCTATTTTGGCCACTCCTTAGATGGCAAACGGGGTATGTCGCCCAAGGGCTTTTCTTAGCAGCCAGAATGCAAGTGTAAGCATGTGGTGTCAAAGCCGCAGGGTGAAGACATTGGACTCATTTGTGACATCCTAATGTCACATTACAGTGAGGCCATGCCGGTGATACCGTCTGTCAAGCAGACAGTGTCATGTATTTGCCTCCAGGCTGCAGCTGGCATTGACCTACAATGGGCTGTCCCGCTTAAAGGGCACAACAATGAGTAGCCTAATGTGACCATGCTCCAGAAAAAGTTACTCCATTCAGAGCCCAGAAATCCCTCCGGGGCTCAGACTCTCCACCATGCAGCTCAACGATGTGAGCTCATGTCTGATAGAGATACTAGCAGAGGCAAATAGCTAATAAAAGGGTAACATAGAGGCATTTCAATCCTTTCATTACACTGACTTGTTACATATGTTTTAAAGTTGCATTGCAGTAATGCTTGACAGTGTAAGCTCCTGTCACACCATCAGCTTTAGGAATGCAAAGCATTACTTTACAACATGTCGCAGCATGAGGAGCAACACCAAGCCCCAACAACACTGCGTTAAGAGGAGTCTGGTCTGAGTCAAAATGTTGCAGGCATACAAGCGAAACACTAAATACCTGCACACTCGTGTAACATGAGCGACTAACTTCAACTTCGGATGTGATACAGACGAGTATAAGCAGCTACATTGAGCTGTAGTGAACTGGGTGTGGGTGGTGTTACAGTGCCGAGGCACTGCCATTATCCTCACTGTAAATGCAGGAAGTACATCTACTTCCTTCCATTTAGCATCAACGTTAGCTCATCATTTCCAACTATTCCAAACACGTTAAATCGGACATCAAGCTCAGCCGCGCACATATGTCATGTTTAATCAACAAAGGGGCGGGCTCACATACATTAGCTAACTTATATTATGTGTTTGTGCACAGGAACACCATGCAAGTAACAGTTACAACAACTGTCAGATACACTGCCTTAGTTTTAGCCTCGCTAGCTCCACCAACAGACACCTTATACGGTCCGTTTGGCAATCCATGCTACATGGTATGTGTTTCATAAAGCACTGTTATTGTTCACGGCACATGTTGAGGGTAATATAATAATCAGTATGAATTTATAAAGTAATACCTTCTCTTCATCGCTGAGCTCTTCGAAATCTGCCATCTTGGCTCAATGAAGCGTTGACAAAGCGACTGTCGATGTTGCCAGGTATGCGTGACTCCTCCCCGCACGAACACGACCCAACCCGGAAGCCTGGCTGTGGTGGCGGAGCTCACTGTCCATGCTGAGTGTTCAATGTTCAATACATACGTTTACTGAAATAGAAACAACTTAGATCAATACATGTTCGAATGAACGACAAAAAAAATCTCCGATATGTTTTTAAATGACTGAATTCTCAACTAAATCAATGTGTTACATAATTATATAACATATTATCTTTTAAGTGAAGCTCGCAATTAATGTGTATTTATATTATCTATCTCAATAAGTGTATATTGGGTTAAGATACCAAATATTACTTGCACATACAAACTGAAGCTGATAAAATCCCAACCTGGCAACTGCGACGCGTTCACGACACGTGGGATGGATGGGACAGACGACCGGTATCGATGTTTGTTTGGTTTTACGACACACGCTATTTTGATATAAATAGCTTATTTTGGAACTTTTAGAAATATGCTATTTACGTAGTTGTTATTACGTCTTGGATGTTGAAAAACAAGCTATTTACACTATAGGCCTCCGAATTACGATAATTCCGATATGACATGAAAGTGGCATGAGCCCAGCCCATGGAGAAGTTATACGTCACATGATTTAGTTCAATCTAAGTCAGTCTGCTGATGTGTTAGGATGGTTTCGATAGTATCTTCTTATACACAGTATAAATAAATTTGCTGACGCAAATGTTCTCCCTTTTGTATTTGACAACAAATCTATTGAATCGATACAATCATGTATTACAGGTAATCTTGCCAAAAACAGTCTAGTCATCTTTACATCAGGTCATCACTCCATAACATTAGACATCAACTGACGACAACAGCAACTCCTTTCTACTCCTTTCTCCTTTCTAATTTACCTCAATAAACGTTGTCTGATTTATTGATTTTATAAAGAGATACAAAAACGTACATTTAGAAAACATATACAACAGGCACATTGAACTGCCATAACAAAAGAATGTAAAGGCCCATGCTTTAGAGTCACTAATCCTCCGAAAACTTAATTTATTGACATCATCTTTCCTACAATAAGTGCCATGTGGCTGGGACATTGGAGTCAATGTGCTGGTCAAGAAACATGTGACCAGACACAGGATATGTCAGTGAAGAATGTAACGACTATGTTCACATTTATCTAATTTCTCTGTGTAGTCGTCCACACTTACAGCTTCATCAGTGTCTATGCCAACAGTCTCTGTTCGGTCAGTAACAAACTGATTGTCCTCAAGACTGATATCTTTTTTAATCGGATCTGCATGCACATACGTTTCTTTAGGGGGTGTTTTGTTCATCCTGAATATCAGAATCTGTGTGTCTTGTGATGTCACTTTTGTGATTATCAGGTAACTGACTGGGCGTGTGGTAGTCAGTGTCAAAGTCTTTCCCATCTGTTTGAGTCTGGTGAGTTTGTAAAGTGTCATTGGAGCCGCAGGAGTCTGAGATCTGCTCCTTGGCTGTAAGGACTTGTTGAACATACTGTGAGTGTATGACTGACTGTGATGGTTTCTGTCTCAGACCCAAAGGCGTCCACAAGAGGGCCACCTGCATCAAGATTATTGTGATTATCTCCAATATTAGTGTCTGTACATCCATCCTCTGTGTCTCTGTGAATTATACCAGTTCTTGGAAGCAAACTTATCTTCACGTTTTCCATTTTCAGGTGAAATGAAAATGCAGTTTGTCTTCAGCAAACTTTCCGTACGCTCCATATCAGCACCAGAGTCCTCGTCCTTCTTTTGGCCCGGCTCCGTGACTGCATCCTTCATGTTCCCCTCTCCAACAGCAGCGCCTTCCTCTCCACCCAGATCTCGGCCAGCTTCATGTACACCACATACAGAGCCTCTGGGTTAGCTTGGTCCTCCAGGGCCGCTGCCAGAGCCAAATGGAAGTAGCCCACTGCGTCAAAAGAATCCTGGGGAGAGTGCACAGAGCAGAGGTCTCCTTTTAATTAAATATATAATCTTTTAATCTTATTTGTGGGCTGGATTTTGATTGGTACCATATTCTGTGAAAAGGATACCAGATAAAGGTAAAGGCAACTGTTGCTCTCCCAAAATGTGAAGCCTCTTCTATTAAGACACTGGCTGGCTACACATTCACTTGTAGCCAGAGGAAAGGTTTGTGTCAGTGTGTTATTATTGTGATAAAACAATTGCCTAACTTTGAGGAATGACATCAGTTTTTGACAGGTAAATTCATGATTTCCTTAAAAAGTTTAAAAAATGAAAATAAAAGTGTATATGTCTTGTTGTGTTGAGAAAATGTATTCAGTCATGTATTGTTTTTCGCATGTCATTTTATGCCAAGTTGTTAGAGTAAACCTGTTAGGTTTAGGCAAAAAAAAACACTTATGGTCCGGAAAAACTTCACCATTGGGCTGAAAATAAGGATGTAAAATAAGTATAAACGTAAACAAGTTAACAGAAGTATGGAAAACACGACACAAACATCTCTTACGAAGCTCAAAATTACTCCTAATGAATTTATTTATTCATAATAATTCATATAAACTAATTATTAAATGATAATTGTATTCCATGTTGATTATATAGGTTACTATGTGTGTTTGCCTTTTTGTTAGCCTGTCTGTTTTGGAAGTTTATGAGCAGAGTTTAGCTGCATGCTGCTGGAAGATGCGCACAGAATCCTGTTTTATTGTTTACGGTTCATTAGAGTGTCAACTATTTCAAATGTGGTTTAATACCACAAAGAGCTGGTTACACCATTTGGAGCAATGGCTCTCTTTATAAAAAAACACACTGAGCTTGCAGCAGTAATACCGACTGTAAGTGTACGTAGTAGTACTGATAATATAAAGTCGGTTTCTCGTAGAACCGGAAACATCATGCAATCTCAACTAGTGGGCGACACCCGCGGTTTTTGTTCAGGGGCCGTTTCTGCATAAAGGCTGTGTGACTCGCAGACTGCAGTTAAAACATTGTGTGACACGAGATTTGAGAGATGGCAGGTAAGAGATCACGCTCTAAATGCACTTTACAAGTGACCATAACTTTGCTGTATGTTGGCGTTGATATGCGGGCGATCAGTCAGTCGACTCAAATCTATTGGAGCCGTATTTACTGTAAGTGGTCTGCGCAATGAGGGGTTAGAAATAAGATATTTTACACTTCCTTTGATTAACAAAGTCTGTTAAAGGAAAATCTGGATCATTCTGCATGTTTGTGTGTGTGCCACGTATTAGTTTCACTTTGCTGGCGCTAATGCCCGCCCTATTATGTTGATAAGTCCATATACAACTGTGACATGTTTTACATACATTCATAGCCCGCTCAATGTCGTTTCAAGAGTGTGTTCTGGCAAACTGTAAACGCGAGTTTATGGAGCTGAAATGTCCAAAGTAGCCTACACAGGTCAGCCAATAAAAGGGTCAGACGAAAAGTTAAATAGACTTCGGTTCACATTTCGATCACTGATGGTCTAATAACTCATATATGATGTGACATTTTTACCAAAGCATATTTTAGTCTTCAGCATCTCAAGTGAAGTAAGAAAGCCTTCTTCTTCTCCACACCGTGGGGAGGAAGGGCACAAACCACAGTCAATCTTCCGCAACCGCAACATAATTACTCACAGTATACTATCGCGAAGTGTTGCATAACTATTTGAACACAAATGTATATTAATATTAAAAACGTATAGATTGATGGTTACACTGTACAACAAGGTTATAAACACGCGCTGCAGTAATGCACCGTGATAATCTAATGCAGGATGTATCATGAACTCACTATTAATAAAGGACCAAGTCACTGTGAGTTTATATGATTAGTTAACACTTATTGGATCATCAATGATTCCTAACTCACACTAATTCACATAATTAGTTTTTTAAAACATTATTATACACTCAGATGCCAGTATATAGGTACACTTATCAAAAACGAATGCAGTTAAAATACAATAGTCACGCAATAAATTAAAATTCATCAATGTTATAATTTTTAGTTTTTGTATAATTTTGAGATGATGTATTTTGTGGTGGTGATGAATTGTATTACCTTATAATCACAGGTGTCTCTGTTGTGTTCACTCCATTTATATCAACGAGGATATACTAAATAACATATATCCCTTATGTCTTATTCATGTTAGTACCTCTGTTTAAATCAAAACTTTTGAGCTGTGTGTTTTCTTTTGCTTCCTATCACCTCTTCTAGGTAAGGAGCTTGCCAATGTGAGGAGTACGTTTGTGGGAAAGGCCCACAAAGTAGTGATTGACCAGCTCCTGGACGACCTTTTACAAGATGGTGTCTTGAATGATGGCGAGATAGAATCCGTACTTGAGGAGAACAGTACCACAGCAAAAAAAGCACGCAGTCTCATTGACATGGTGAGGAAGAAAGGAGACGAAGCCAGCAGGAAGATGATCGCTCACCTCCAAAACAGGGATCCTTTCCTTCACTCTGAACTGGGTCTGTCCTCTGGTCAACCTGCTCAGCCGGGTGAGCTGACATATTTTAGCTATAGTGAGACCGTCACCCTATTTTGAATCAAACTAATATCATTCTTTGACGCTGTCATGAATAGAGGTGTATTACAGAGAAAGAAGAACACCGTTTTAAACAGAAATGTTTTGCTGTAGCTGCAGAGCCACAGACGAAGCAGCAATGGTCAACCACAGTCATCCGTACCAGCGAGGCTTTCTGGAGAGAGAAACTGAATGATAGAGATGTGAGTCCTTCATAAAAGCCATATCAAGTATTAAATAGGTTCCTGTACATCTTAGTGTACTTGACCTTGATAGAAAGGTGTTGTTTCACAAGTGGGAAAAATAGTTCTCTTAAGAAAGTCTACAATATTTACAGACAAATTTGAAATGATACATACATTTGTTATACTTCTGTTTTTCAGATTTACCCAGCGGCCAAACATTCCATGAGCAATCGTGTGGCCCTGCTCATCACTAACATAAAGTTTACTGATGAGACATTAAACAGAAATGGAGCTGAGAAGGATGAGGCGAACATGGAGAAACTGCTCACAGCTCTGGGATACGAGGTGGTGAAACACACAAACCTCACAGGAAAGGTACTATTATAAAAAGGGAAATAAAATATATTTTTTTGTGTCTGGTTGATTTAGTGATACTGATGTTTGTCTTTTTGTGTTGTCACAGGCAATAGATGATGCTCTAAATGAGTTCTCTAAACATCCCAAACTCAAAGAGACAGACAGTGTGTTGGTGGTTATCATGTCACATGGGAAACCGGGAGCTGTCCTCGGTGTCGGCTGGAAAAAGGAGATATCTGATAATGAAAGACCAGATGAGTTCCCCATCAACAACATTTACAAACACTTGGGCCCAGAGAAATGTCCAGCGCTGCTGAACAAACCCAAGATCATCATGATCCAGGCCTGCAGAGGAGGTGACTCTATTCTCACAGAGAGAACAAACATTAATATACATTAATGTAGGAGTCTGCTTATGTCTCCTTTGTTGTCTAAGTGCACTGTATTAAAAATATGCCACATGTGTTTCAGAGGAAGAAGGATCAGTGCTTGTTAGAGATGGTGCAAACGCAGCTGTGGTCTGTGATAATGCTGGTTTGCGATCTGTAAACAAAGAAAAAGACTTCACTTCTTTTCTTTCCTGCACCCCTGGTCAGTTCATTTAAATGTTATTAGATTATTCTACACCTCATAACACATTGAAGATTAATATCAATAAGCTGCATTGAAATCAGCTAAGAATAGTTACTTGATGTAATAAAAACAAAACATATGACCTGTTTCTGTATGCTTTTCCTCCAGATACTGTCTCATACAGACATCCGGTTCATGGGTCTCTTTTCATCCAGTATATTGCTGGGGTATTTAACACCTACGCACATAAGGACGACATTGAGAAACTTTTCAGAAAAGTAAGTGGAAAGTAATATCAGTCAGTGAGGCAACGACACCACATAGAGAGCAGCAATGATGATGCTCTTGTTTCATTCGTCTCTTGCTTAATTTCATACAATGTTTCTTTCAACCACACAGGTCATGCGACGCTTTGAAGAATTTTCCCATCAAAACGAAAGGCAGATGCCGACCAAAGACAGATGCACTCTGACAAGGCGCTTCTACTTCTTTCCAGGCCTCTGAGGCAGGATTCACTTCTGTTTGATAACACAGACTTGTAGCCACATTTTAAATGATGTGTGCAATTGAGATACTACTTTGTGAATAGATAAAACGTATTAATGATTTACTGAATGGGCCTATCGGTCACAGGCCTGGGGACCAAAGGACAGAGAAAAGAGATGCAAAATAGTTTCAAAGACATGTAAAATGACTTCAAAGAAACAACAAGGAGACGCAAATAGACAATAGAAAATACAAAGATACGTCTGCATCGTTCACAGTTGATTTGAGTCTCTTTTAGTCTTGGTGTTTTGCCCTTTTGTTTGTGGCGGTGGGGAAGCTTGTCTGTGTCCAGGGGCCCTTTGTGTCATAATCCATCCATGATACAACTAATATGATCAAATACAATTACATTTTTTTATATATAAATAACAGTATGTAAGCCTTTGAATTAATGGAGAATTTTCATCAACTTGTATTCAACAGGTTGCTTCATGGACGTCATATAACTATTTAACAGGATATTGAATGATTGCCTGCACCAGGCTCCCAGTTCTTCCACCACATTTTAAAACACACCTGCCTTGAAATGTATGAAATCCATTTTTTATTCTCTATATGGCCAAGGCAACATACAATAAAATATAAAATGTAATAATTAAATTCGTATTCAGATTAATTATTTTTACTTTGGGAACTATAGTTATTAATCTGATGAGGATCAGCTGTGATAAGAGGAAGGGGTGGGACTGAGTCTCTGTTCTTTTCCTACTTGTAGAACGGGGCATCTGCAGTCTTTGACCTCACGTTAGACTTATTATGTGTTTGTTAAGTTTGTTGAAAGTGAAAATAATCCGATCAAATGACGGCAATGGAATCAACATCTGCAGAGTTATCATTTGGACTCTTTAAGGTGTGAGTCGAGAAACGGAGCCCCGTAACGTGGCCGAGTATGTCAGAAGAACAAAGAACAGGCCACCACAAAGACTACAAAGACTGTACTAACCTTTGCACAATTTAAGATGACACTCAATGAATTCAAAGATGCTCATGTTGCTGTCCAAAGGCTTCTACCTGCTGAAATAAAGGAAAATTAGACAATGGACTGCATTAACCCCAAATGGATCCCAGCCTAGATGAAGGTGTCCTGAGAGTGGGGGGAAGGATTAACAGATCAGCTATGCCAGTAAACGCTAAGAATCCCATAAACTTACCCAAAAAGTTTACGAATGCAGTCTGAAGTAGGAGAGCAAAAAAATGGCAGATCTTCCACAGGACCGTGTGATGCCAGATTTTCCACCTTTCACTTCAGTTGGCATGGACTATTTTGGACCTTTTGAGATAAGGCGAGGTCAGACCAATGTAAAACGGTGGCGTGTGATCTTTACATTCCTTACTAGCCGTGCAATCCATCTTGAGGTGGCTAGTTTGGAAACTCCTGCATCAATGCAATACGCAGATTTCTATGTCGCACTGGTACCGTAAAAACCATCAGATCAGATCAAGGTACAAATTTTGTTGGTGCACAAAAGGAGCTGGAACGCTCATTAAAATAACTAAATTATGACAAAATCCAAAGACATCTACTCCAAGAAGGAATATAGTGGTTATTCAACCCGGCAGCAGGTGCTCACCACGGAGGCATATGGGAGACTAATTAAGTCACTAAAGAAAATTCTGTGATCTGTGGTAAAAGAACAAGTTCTGGATGATGAGGCCTTGTGAGGTGGAAGCTATAATGAATGATAGACCCATCACAACAATAACAAATGACTTGAATGATGTGGAACCTTTAACACCTAATAATTTGCTTATACTTAAAACCAACCCTGTCATGCCTTCTGGAACGTTCAAGAAAGAGGACCTGTACTCTAGAAGGAGATGGAGACAGGTACAATATCTGGCTGACCTTTTCTGATCACAGACGGAAATACGACTGTGAATTTCCGTTTTTCCATTTTTGGCTTAAAACGAAAAACGAGTAAACCCATGGCATTTCTGTGTTTTCAGACTATCAAAATGTACACGGACCGATCAGTTGTTTGTGTTCACAAGAGTTCACATAAGTTTCTTTATATTTTTAACTTTAGTTTGCCAGCAGATATATTGACTTACTTTTGCTTTGTGATAAATGAGTTGATACAAATTATTTATTGGATAAAAATGCATAAGTTTCTCAATGTAAATTTAATAAATCATCATGTCTGCACTTAGAAATGTTAGTAGTCAATAATAAACGGTGTTGAGTTTTTCAATTTCGCATAAGCCATCAATAAAAGCCTGTCAGTCAACCAGAATAATATTTAATACTTTATTAATAAAGAATTCTGTAACACATTATATGAAAGTCATATACTATATACATACTCCCTGAATGTGTCGTCCAGAGTGGAGGACAGGTAAATTATGCTTAGTGTTTATTAAAAATGAACCAAACGTCTCTATATTGTCATTATTTATTGCTTCATGAACTACACATGCTCACTCTTCCATGACATGAAAATAACAAGTAAATACATAATGTGTACAACTAGGTTGCAAATTAACCCTAAACATCAAATATCCGATTAAATAACCTGCAATAAATAGATCTATATCAATAACATTGATAATTAACAAAGACACAGGTAAATATAACTAAATATTTTGGTGTAAATACACGTATACTGTCATCTACTGGTAGAAATGGTAAACACATTTATACTTCAGTCTATGCTCTGCGTTCACTCAAGCAATAGCACAATACGGTGGAAAATTAAATATCAGTACAAACAGCAACTGTGTGAACACAAAAATGACTTTGATTAAACTTACGAACTGTATTACGTCAAAAACAATACACCGTTTCATCGAAAACTTGATTGTTGCTGTGTACATGGATAAATGAATATTAGCGCATGCAGTCACGTAGTATGTTGCTAACACACTCCCATCAGCCCACATTTATCTATTTACATGTATTTATTTCCCTCTATTGTTAACCTGGTATGTGCTTCTTGCGTTATAGACAAACACTTCTCTTGCATTCGCTCCTTGTATTGCCTTGACTTTTATTTAGACATGTTCTTACTTCCGTAATACCTGTCGTGTTTTGCGTCTCTCTTCAAAAAAACAAAACAAAAGAGAGATTTGCAAAAAAACAAATCGGCTCGTTATTTGACTTGGTTTCTCTCGTATTTTTTCGATTAAACGATACAACAAACTATCAAAACGTACACGGACCCGGTCTATTTTACAAGTAACCAGTAGGGGGAAATTCAATGTACAATAATAGCCGTGGCCGCAGAAGAAGAAGAAGAACAGGCAGCTACCGTAAAGAAGAAGAAGAAGAAGAAGAAAGAGCGGTTTTGTGAGAAGCTAGTTAAATTGCTAGGACCTGTGCGTAGCCTCGATAGTCTGTAAACAGAGATTCACACTGAAGGTAGGCAAAGAGTTGCTCTGCTGTCTGCAGCACAGCGACATGCGCAGTGATATAGTTTACCTCCGTGTAGTCGGCCATGTAAATACAACGCTACCCGTTTGCTTTTACGATAACCAGATAGCTATGCTAACGCTAAGTAGCTAGCCAACAGCCAACGCTGACCTGGCTGCGTGTAGATGCAACGTAACCACATCTACTGTAAACGCACCAAGGTGTGGCGGTGTAAAGGTGAAGCGATGTTCATCTGCTTTCACAAAATACATCCACCCAGCTGGCTGCTCTTATTGGATCTTTTCTCACTAACCGGTGTCGTAGCGTATGGCCGCAGAGAACAGCAGCCCCTCGTGGGGAGCCGCTCAGTTAAAGCTTAAACCACCACACAGTGAACATATGTCAGACGAAAAATACTCTTTAAAATGTGACAGAGTGCCGCCTACGCGTCTGTAAAACTATTTAGATGTACAGATATCAAGAAGGCTGAGATGTCCCCTCTTACTCAAACCAGCTGAGGTTTACATGAATGACATTCACTGCAGTTGCCAAAAATACGACCTGATGACCGCATTTGATTGCTATGAGTTGACCGGGTTGGGCACGTGATGACAATACTTAACGGTTGTGTTTTGGTTTGGGCTGCTTACAGATAGTGTTGTGATGCTATTGCTCGAGGTCGTGTCACAAACTGTCTGTAATCCAGGAATACAAAGTTACAAACGTTAGTAACTGGTTTGATGGATTAATTAGCAATGCTGGGTTTAATTTAGACCATTACATGATAACGTTAAACTTTTTAAATGACATCTATACGCGTACATGTAGCATTGCTGTGTTCATGAATGTTAGTTGTTGTTTTTTTTGAATTTGAAAATAAGATTATTGTTTGGAATTTTGTTATGAATACTACTTTAAGGTTGTCCAAAAACTTTATTCACGACTTTAAATGAACATGACTCGATCACTCTTCTTCCTATCAGTCAATCAATGTCGTATCAAGCTACTACCAACATCTCAAAGCACTATTGACACTTTAATAACACACTTGGTTTAACATACTACTTGTTTGTTTGTCATATTTTACTGTAAATCTTCCTATTTTCTGTTTTTAAATTGTCTTTTACCATTGCTTATATGTTTATGGTCACGCACCCATCACCAAGCCAAGTTCCTTGCATGTGTAACATACTTGGCAATAAACGGTTTCTGTTTGGAGCATTTCAGGTGATTTATTTCTTAATCTGTGTTACATTGTTATGACTTCTCTCTCCCTTTCAGACGCTTGGGGTTTTTTAAATTATGTGGACACAGAATCCGGTTCAAGGTTCAAATTAAGGTATGTAAAGGGTTGCTCCCTTAAAAAACATTATGCAAATTATCTCCAACCATGAATGTAATGTAACACAAATGCAGTTTTGTAATGTATGTATGCTGGGACTTAAAAACCCTTTTTTCTTTTGCTGAAATCATTTTATACTCCGGCTTGTTGGCCGCTTAAAGATATAAACTGATCTTGAAGACATTTAAAATCATTTGTTTCATTGAAGAAGAAAAAAAATACATTTGTACTTTGGCATTTTCGAGATGATCGTAAATCCACGATTTCATTTCATCAATGCGATTTTCCTCAAGATGTTTATACCAATTCCAGAGAAGAGGATAATTTGAACAAAAGCTGTATTTCCATTTGTAGGAAACGCTGTTTGAGCGGTTGTCTGCGCTGCTAATTAGTGAAACCTTACAGACCCAATGGGGCAATGTTGGGATGAGCAATGTTGCCCCAAACTTAAAGGCAGAATGATTTTTCCTAAAACGCAATGTATAGACTCGCACAAAAATGATCCCTCTCAGTCATCACTTATGACGGAGAGTGTGGCGGTGTCTGTATCTGCAGAGACCCCCCCCCTGCCTGCATTTCCTCTTGTCTGTTAATTTTGTGTTCGGCACATTTCTGGCCGTCAACCTCTCTAAAAACGTAGCGACCGGGTGCCAGATCATCAACACGCATCCAGAGGAAGCTATGAAAATGGTGGACACTGTGCCAAAACAACGCAAACGCAGCGAGGCCGAACGCCGCGTGGAGCCAAAGCTCGTTCACACCAGAAGTGAATCTGGTGTTGGCGCTCACTGCCGGCGAGCACCGTAACCCTCGTTAAGCATGTTGTTAACAAACGCAACCAACAAAGCCTATTCATTGTGATTTAAATCGGCGTAACAATTTATTGCCATGAGTCCATTTTAAAGTAAGTGGAGGCAGAGTTCATCACACTGTACAGTTGCCACTCTGTGGGTATCTGTGTATCTGTGCCATTTGCTCCACTTTCTCTCACGACTGCGGTTTAACGGTGCGCTTTTCGTTTTGCGTGAAATGTGTTTCCACCATCGACTTAAAGCCATCCACTGTTACGACACCCACGGTGTCTTTATGTGGCTTTTTTTAAGCAAATGGAAGTGTATTCTCTTTGGTTCAACATTTAAAGAGTCGGGGTGTATTTTATATAATGTCATTGTTGGATGTATGCTATACTGGGACAAATCATGTAGCTAATATACATGTTGGCACAGACTCTACCACCTGAGACATTTCCACGCATCTCTAGCCAGAAAGCATATTTTATGCTCCGTTTTCATGCCATTATTTCAGTCTGGGAGCCCAGAGAAGGCGGGAGAAAAAAAAGCCTGTTGAGAGCTCAACAAGTGCACATTTATCCGATCAGGTGTAGGAACGACTCATGAAACAAGTCACAATGAGTGAAGTCAAATTGTGAAAGGTTAGACAAAGCGTTCGCATTCTTGCAAATTGCCAGTCTGTTGCGTCACTGAATTTGCGTGGCCGATTCACATTTGTTTGTGTTGCTCTGCTCGCCATTAATGCTGCCGTCCTTGTGCCGTAATTCAAGGCGAGCTCTCTCGTACGTAAAGGTCCAGTGAAGCGTTAAATCTAATAATGTCCTGCTGTGCATGGACCAAATAAAAGTTGCACCCATTCATGAACTGCTTTTGGAAGAATTTGCGATTTAACCGGCACGATTTTGTTTCAAAATTTGCAGCATTTTGAACATTTATTTTCCACAGTATTTCCATTGTCTGATGTGATTTTTTTTTTTTTTGATTTTCAACTTTTGCACTGCTGAAACTTTTCATCCCTCCCAAGAATTTTTATCTCTTCTCTTAACTCACTGACATGTTGCAGGATTTTGGGCGGCAATTTAAAGACGCGGATTAGCGAACAAACCAAACTTTTTCAAGCATTTGAGACGCACGAAGGAAAGAAAGAAGTTAAACCCCCTTTTCAACCAAGTCATGTCTCGCCGAAGAAGCCGCAGCCCGTCGCCGGGGCAGTTTTCACGCAACTGCAGCAGTAGTGACCCTAGAGATTTGGAGAGACGGATTTTCGTCGGGAATTTGCCGACCTCCGACATGGAGAAGAAGGATTTGGAAGAGCTGTTCAGCACTTATGGGAAGATAATCGGTCAGTAAAACACCATACAAGCAATAAATCTAATTCATGACATACTTTTACTCATGTCTCGTAGCATCAAGCGTCGTGTTTTTTCATGAAATGCAAGCATGTCAAATTCCAAAGGATGTCCTTACTGCTAACTTTTGAAAGTGGGTAGGTATTCACAATGATCTGTACCACTTTAAATGTCCCTCTTCCAGGCGTGTCCATGTTTCGTGGGTTCGGATTTGTACAATTTGAAGGTGTTGCGGAAGCGGAAGCTGCAAAGTCTGCCCAAAAGGGTCGCATATATAAAGGTTATAAAATAGGTAAGCCTTAACTGCAGTGGGTGTGATTGTCTGGCTACAGAGGACCGCTTTATGTTGGTGTACAGAGAGCAACTAAAGAAGTTAATGAAAGGCCAAGTTGTTGTTTTTGTGTGTGTGTGTGTGTGTGAAAACCTTCAATGATTGGGCATGGTGTTTTTAAAGTGTTTATCCTGAAGAGAATCGTGAATATAAAATGCCAGCAAAGTAGCAATTAAAGTTTACACTTCCAGATTTATTTCTGTTTTAAATGTAAGATAGAGATTAATAGTGATCGGCTAAAATGGCTTTTCCTTTTTAACGCCATTTTAGTGATGCGATACGTTGCATCCAGTAAACATAATGCCCGTAACAATGATGATGCAAGTTGAGCGCTATTCTTTCTCACAACTAACCTCAGTGTTGGTTCTGCGTGAGGGCGCTCCGATCAGGACTGTGGAAGCAGCATCTGCCGATACCGACCGCCGGGTTTATTTGAAGCCTTCTATTTATTGTTACATGATTTATTCAACCATTCTTAACCACATTGTGTATTAAAATGAAGAGATGTGTCATGCAACGTGTGCACACTAAGCCTCTTTTTACACAGACCCTGTAATTCTGCTGTAAAGACGCCTCTTAATGGCCCATTTGGGATTTTAGACGGCATGCCAGCTCGACGTGTAGCACTAAAGCGTCCCTTGCGTGTCGGCCGGCCTTTTATACACCGACGTTGATGCGGTTCTGTTGCCGGCAACGATGCAGACGGTTTTCTACAGAACAGTGAGGCGTGAAAAAGGGGCTTCAAGTAGCAACTCACAACTCTGGTGAAGACATTTTAGTCGCGTGTAAATAAATTGTCCCGCAAGTTTTGCGTCATCTGATCGGCTTCCATATTGAAGTGGTCTGAACGAATTTTGGCAGATCTGCGGCTATTGATCGGAGCACCCTTAGTTTGATTTGATCTACAGCTCAACATTTAAAAAATAAATAAAATATATATTTAGCCACGCAGAGTTTTCTACCTCCAATCTTTCTTTCTGTGACATGTTACATTATTGGCATACAAAGCAAATAAACAAAGGTATTATTAACTTCTGGCAAAGCCTGAATCTCTGAAATCTCTTGTTTTATTTGCCAAACTGACAATTTTCTACAACATAGATTTTAATGCGTCACTCAAGTCGAGCACTTGCGTTTTTGGTTATTTCAAAATTTCAAGTTGAAAAAAGAATCTAATTTATACGTTGAAGCTTTGCTAGTGCCGAGCCCATCTTAAGTGCACAAAAGAACTCCAACAGATTTGGAAACTCGATTTGCTGCATTTTGACTCTCGGCCAGTTTGGATTTTCAAGCTCGTATTTTGGAGCTCAATTTCATTTGGATCGTGGACGTGTTGACGCGGCCACTCCGTTCTGCGTGAAAAGCAACTGATTAACATGTCACTGTTGTGTTCAACGTTTGGATTGATTTATTTTCAGATGTAAATATGGCAGTGGAGCGACGGCAAGCTAAACCTCAATCCCAGCAGAGCCCTCCACGAAGGTAAAGTAACGCGCAATTGGTGTGAAGAACTACAGTCACCTCTGAGGTGCCGGTAAAACAAAACAAACCAAAGCGTATAACATTTCCCTCAACTGTCATTCCTACCAGTGGTGACGTCCGCCCAATGAAGATGGGTTTGTGACGGTTCATGCGACAAATATTTCACCCTAATTACACTTTCCAGATATGTTGAAATAAAGAGAATAGTCGTAGGAAAGTGTCTTTGTCTCTAATGCTGGTGTTCATAGTGTGGCTTTGCACTGCAGTTCACCTTTATAGGTAGATTGTGCAACTTTCCCTCTGAATGAAACGTAGTGCGAGTCCCACCCGGCCTCATATCTCTTTAGCAGGTTCATGTCCCACAACAAGACCTTTAACTAATTAGCATTGTAAAGGAAAACTGACAGAACGGGCACAACACATTGAAGTATATTTCAGGCAGGTTTGGGGATGGGGTCGGGCATTCACACCCATAAGATCCCAGACCAGGGCAAACGATGTGTATGATGCTTATTCTAATATGACCCTGTTGCATATTGACGACATAAACTGTTGTGATGCACAGAACTCACAAGGAAAATGTGGTGAAAGGAATTTATTGGTTTGTTGCATTTTTCTTTTAATTTGAAACCTTTCGTGCCTCACTTTTGAGTTGAGTGTCATGGAAGTTATTTAAACTCTCCTATAAATGTTGGAAGAAGTGAAGACAAATTGAGGGTTTAGCGTCAACAGGCCCGGCCTATCTAACCCTAAAGGTAACCTCCATTTCTAAACACCAAGGGTTGAAAGGGCTCTAACCACTGCCTCCTGGAGACACCTCGGTCACTTTGCGTTTTTAGGAACTCTAGTCAAAAAGTCAAGTTTTCCTTAAAAATACTTTTGCTGTGTAGAAAATTTTCTACGCAATTCAGAATATTTTCCTTCTAGAAATGTATTGAATTACAAAAAAACCCCAAAATGTTCTATTAGTTCTGTTTTTATAACCAGAGACCTGCAGCGTGGGAATGTGGCTTACCGGAGAACAAAACGCAAATCATCGCAAGCAAATGCTAAATGCGCAAAATACACACCGCCTGTTTCAAAAAGGTTAAATAGCCGTGGTACGCGTGTATCTGAAGAGCTGGGTTCATGGTCGGGGGAACCTCAAATGGTCGACAAATCAATCGTGTTGCGAACACGGATCACTGGACATTTTCAAAACCTCGCCGTCGACGCGTCTCGGGAACCACCTCCTGGATTGAATGCGTGCTCGGTCCCCTTTACGAGTCACGGACAGAAGTTTGTAGTGTTTCATAGGCAGACTGAACTCTAACCGTCCTTGCACTAACTGATACCTTTACTCTCAGGGCCACCACCACTTATGGCAGCTACGCGGACGGCAAAGAGCCCCGGCCTCGCTCACGCTCACCCACTTATGTGCGCGAGTCTCGGGAGAGCCGTGACGGGAGGGAGTCTCGGGAGAGCCGTGACGGGAGGGAGTCTCGGGAGAGCCGTGACGGGAGGGAGTCCGCTAGAGAGTCGAGGCCGGCCGGCCACTCTCGTGACCACGACTACCGGTACCGGAGCACAGAGACCAGAGACAAAGACCCCAGGGAGCCTGCATTCAGGTGACCACTCGGCTCATAAGTCGGAAGTTCAGCATTAAGTTGTTTTTTTTTTTGTCTGAACCTGAAATGTTTCCATGCAGCAGCAGAGACGACTATGACCGGTTCTACCGCAGTGCCAGTGGTGCAGAAGACTATTACCGGAGGAAGGATGAGCCCTACAGGGACCCTTACAGAGATCCCTGGAACGGACGCCGGGAGCCAGAGGGTACGTGTACTCCAGTGTACATATCTAATGTCTTGTTTAATTGCTCTTAGTTGATGAGCGCACGTGACCACCTTAGAATAAGATTGTTTATTTGTGATAAGTTGGATTTTCCTGATTTTGTTTGGAATTTAAAAACGTGACCAGTATTTTATCTGACATCCCACAGGTTGTTTTTTTGTCGCTCTGGATATCATTTTTACTGCATTTTGCTAACACGTCTTTTAACAACTGCAATATTTATAATATTAAGTAATACGAATTGATGTCAGAGTAGCACCAGACTGAGGCCGTCTTGCTTTAAAGACGATTTAGAGCCGTGTTCAACTTGTGAAACTTTAACTGACATTTCCCTGTCCAGCCCCCTCCACCCTCACTTCAGCAGTAGATGATCGCGCTCGACCAGAAGAGCGCCGCCGCAATGAATTGTATCGACAGTACTACGAGGAGCTGCAGCGGCGCTACGACACCGACCGCCCCGTCGACTGCTCCGTGATCGTCGTCAACAAGGCGCAGAAGTATGTCCACTCTCTTGTTCTGTACCGGAAACGAAAATGAAAAACCTGAAACGTCTTTGTAAATGTTCCACCAGTACCTGGCGTGTTTTTATTTCATATGGCTCCTGTGTGTGTGTGTGTGTGTGTGTGTGTGTGTGTGTGTGCCTGTGTGTGTGTGCCTGTGTGTCTGTACTATTGCTTCACAAACAACTGTAGGGAGTATGCGGAGACGGTCGGACGGAAGGTTCGTGATTTGGGCATGGTGGTGGATCTGATCTTCCTCAACACAGAAGTGTCACTAACTCAGGCGCTCGAGGATGTAGGCAGGGCCCGCACTCCCTTTGCCATCATCATTACCCAGCAGCACCAGGTCCACCGGTCCTGCACTGTCAACATCTTGTTCGGCACGCCGCAAGGTAACGCAAGGCGACAGCGGGCACGTGTTGTTTGGTCGGTGGGGTCAATTTTATTCCCTCCTAAAGCAAAGAGCGCAGTGTTTGACGTGTCTTTTATTGTTTTGTTTACACGTAGAGCATCGGAACATGCCGATGCAGGATGCCATGATGCTGGTTGCCCACAATTATGACACCTACAAAGTTGAAAACCGTGAAAAAGAACGCGAGGAGATTGCCAGAAAGGCTGCCAAGATGGCGGACGACGTGCTACTCAGGGAGCCTGACAGAGAGGGCCACCCCATTTCTGTGCTCACCTCCATCACACTGCTGTCTGAAAACAGGTACCCGGTCTGAAATGTTGTTTCGTGAACAAGTCTTCAATGAGCAATTGAAAATTGGCGCAGTGGAGAATGTAACATTTTGTTTTCTGTGATGCCTCAATTACAGTTTCCATGTTGTAAAACTTTGAATCTCACACGTTATATAAAATCTCACCTTCTTCTAATTTCTTTTGTTTTCCCTTCGTGGTTGCCGGGTAGATTTGTAACCCCAGATGAAATGGATGGTCTCATTGCCTACCTGAAGGACAAAAGAGCTCGACTGCTACGAAGCGCTGCAGACCCTCTCACCGGTAGGAGGAGCACGTTTTAAAGTCTCATTTTTAAGGACTGGTTCACAGCTTTTGTCCGTTTTTTTTTTTTTTTTAAACCAATACTCGCATGGCATTGAAAAGAGTAATATACTGTCATCATTCATCCTCTACACACTGGCCCTGAAGAGAGAAACAACACGCATCAATGCAGAAAGTTCAGCTGCAATTCATAGAAGGCTTTTCTGAAGCAGCTCAGCAAAGAAACATTCCACTTACTCTCTCTCTGATTGGTGAAACCTCAAGAACTTCAGCTAAATTTCACAATGTATTTTTATACAGAATGAAAACTCTACATTGCCATTGTTAGTTTATTTATATATTTTTTTTTATCTCTGCCACTATGGAGAAGAGGAACAATTACAGCAACCAATAATGTATTTAATGTGTTAACTGCCTTAAAACATGTGCTGAGATAGTTTAGTCTTGTTTTTCAAAACAAGTTCTTTGTCCGTTGAATGTTATAGTCTGCAGAACTGCACATTCTAACTGAACCTTTCACATCACAGCTGGAGTCCATGGAGCAGCTCCTGCAGCAGTACACCATGACGTTTCAACCTCCGCTGCAGGACTGCCTCCTCCATCCCACTCTGCTCTATCCCACTCTGCTCTATCCCACTCTGCTCTATCCCACTCTGCTCTATCCCACTCTGCTCTATCCCACTCTGCCCTATCCCACTCTGCCCTACCCCACTCTGCCCTACCCCACTCTGCCCTACCCCACTCTGCCCTACCCCACTCTGCCCTATCCCACTCTGCCCTATCCCACTCTGCTCTCACGCCTCCACAGTCCAGCCACCTTGGCCTATCGGCTGCTTCGAGCGCCTCGGCGAACCCCAGCCACCAGCAGGAGCTGCAAGCTAAGATCCTCAGCCTGTTCAACAGCGGCAGCGGGGTCCCGGCAGGCGCAGGAGGCCCGCCCTCCATCTCCCAGACGAAGGCGTACGGCTCCCTTGGCCCACCCCCTTCCCAGAACCAGCCCCGCCCCACCATGACGGGCCCCCCTGCGGGTGGAACCCTGGGTTATGGCACCCCACCGGGACGCATGCAGGTCACACCAGGTGGTCAAAGACTCCCCTCGTCGGCTTCAGGTATCAACTTTGACAACCCGAGTGTACAGAAAGCGCTGGACACCCTCATTCAGAGCGGACCGTCTCTCAACCACTTGGTGAGCCCCGCCGCCGCTCAGCAGCCCCCCCCCAGCATGGGCCAGGTCCCAGCGATGTCCATGTACCCCCGACATTACTGATGTAACAACTTCTCCTAATGCGAGTTCCCCTCTCCCTGTGACACAAGTAGACACCACATCAATTCTCTGTGCAGTGAATGTACCAGCTGTGTAATATAGGTAGGTTGGATGTTTTGTAAAAGCTTTTAATCTTTTTTTTTTTTTTTCTTTTATTCCAAGTATTGTGTTCAGTTGATTAAATGGTTATTAAATTTGGTTTGATGACTTGTCCAGACTAACCGTCTGTATTTTCGATTATTAGCCAGAAGTTAATTATTCATTCGTTCTTCTTACGTGAGGTAAACTGAGGTAAAGTTGCATGTGTGAAGTACGGTGTGTTTTGGTTTATGATGGATTCCTTTGTTCTTTTCCAAACATGATTGTTTTATAGTTTTGCACATAGTGTCTTTTTAATTTGTAACATTTTCATTGTCAAAACAAGACATGATTAAAAACTCCAGACACAATTGCTGTAATAAAATGGTATTGGTTTATTGCATTTTGTGCTGACAAATCTATAAAATGGAACGGGTATCGCCAGAAGCCATAGATATATAAGCATTTGAAATGTAAGATAAAACTACTTTTTCTTTTTTTTTTAATGTACCATGAAACACAATAGAGAATAATACGTTCTTTTTTTAAACTTTATAATATTTAGCTTACACTGACACAAAAAAAACACCTCCACACTAACTGTATTTGATTTATTTACATGTAGCCCCCTCCCACCCCCGCCCCCAGCAGTTACAAGTGCACATGTACACACTCCCACAAAACTTAAAGGAACACACTACAGCTTTACCATAAGACTAGGTACAGTATCAAGGAAGAGTAATGAACAGTTTGGAATGAAAAAAGCATTTTCATATTACTGAAATTTGATACAGGTGTGTCTTTGTGTGTATGCTGTGTATATAGATCATCTACATCCATTACATTGTCAGGCATTCATACGAAATGTTTCCCACAACTCCGGCGAATTAGACTCAAACCTAGACAGTGACGGGATTACTCTGGAGGGAAGAACTCATTAAATGAAGTTCTGTACTTTTCAAAAGCAATTAAGTAGGAATGTGTTTATTCCCAAGAGTTGAATGAGAAGATCGATAACGTTGCCGGTAGCCGGCTAACTTAGCTTAGCACAAAGACTGGAAATGGGTGGAAACAGCTAGCCTGGCTTTGTCCAAAGATGAGATCTGATACCAGCACATCTAAAGCTCAATAACTAACACGCTTATTTAAGTCACACAAAAGTCCAAATGTAAAAACGATAAATTGCCGTGAACACATTTTATTTAAATTTTGGCACAAATGTCTACTTGCGCTCAAGGCAGAACTCATTCGAATTTGGGGGTCAAAGGTCATAGTGACCTCACAAAATGTTTTTGGCCGTAACTCAAGAATTCATATTCTCATTGTGACAATTTCACGCAAATGTCAAATAGGATCAAATGAAGTGACTGCAACAATTCTAGTTCCACTTTGTTGTTAATTAATGAGCGTGGGAGATGCTGATTGGTCGACTTTATCGTTGAACAGGCCGACTGTTTCCCAGCTTTCGGTCTTTGTGCCGAGTAAGCGAATAAGTGCATAAAGTTATCGACAAATCACACCTGTTTATTTTTGTTTTTTTACCACATTTGTAATTATTATACTTCAATACACACTAAATATAACCAGTTATTTAGTAAAAAAGTAGGTAAATGTAGTTTTGGACAGGCTGCCACCAAAGTGTGGTTTTGCAGGTACCTCCTCCACCACTTTGGCACTTTCAGAGTCTCATCCAATTGAAACAATCTGTTAACTGAAAACTCACATTTTTTTTGAAGGAAAGAAAACAGTGTTTACTCGTCTGCGTCTAATTCACCGGAGCACACATTTGCACACCATCATGTATGTAGTTAACTGAAATATATACTTTGGTAATCAGTTTATCTGCAGATAATATTTGACACAATGAGAAGACCTTGTCAACAAATCTACCATAAAAAATAGAATCTCGTACTATAATAATAATAATATTCATCTTGAATACATTGGCCAGTCCTAAGGAAAGAGGAAAAAAAAGAGTCATACGACTAGAAAGAAAATGTTTCTAACTGATATAAACAAAAATACTTTTATACCACAAACACCCAATATATTTTCAATACACCTTGTTCAGGGTAATTGCATGCATGCACTGAGATACACAACATGTCTGGGACCTGGCTCTGCTTGCACTGCATGGACAGCCACTTGAGTTCTTCTCTTAAACTCCCAGAGAGGTCGACTGTCTGACACCTCCAACATCAGGCACGTCTGTCTGATGCCTCTGTGAAGGTATACTGAAGGATGCGATCTTATCTCAGCTACAGACTGCGGGGGGTTTTTGGGCCCTCTCTGCCATAATCTGGGGCTGGTTTTGTGTTTTCTCTGTTGGTGTCTTAACAGGACAGCCTCCTCAACCCGGTAACAGATGTGTTTCAGAGCCCTTAATATCCATTTAAGGACGGAGACTGAGTAATGATCACCGGCAAGTTTGTCTCATGCTACAATTGTGCAGGCGAAGTTTCTGATCTACATCGTGGATCAGCTGTGGGGAGAGGGGGCATGCTGGTTTCTAAGTAGACTATCTTGTGTCGTCCAAACAGAGCCAGTGCCAGAATTGGAAGCGCGAGTTTTATATTCTTTGATCATTTTTCAGAATTATACTGCAATCACATTTAAAATACAGAGCTGGGGTGGATTTAGTGGCTGGGATGGGGGAGGCCAGGGATTTGCGGGCAGATGGGGGGAGGAGCGCGGGAAGGAGGGGGGTGGAGGAGGGATTCTGGGAAGGCTCACCTCACAGATTGAGTGACAAGCACTATAAATTTAACAGTTAATATTCTTCTTTTTTTTTTTTTTTTGGCAAGAGAAAGGAAAGAAAGTGATGCATGCTAAAATGTCCAAGAAAATGCTGAAACGCTAAGATGTAAACATAATCAGCAGATAGGTTTCTGCATTAGTGCAGTTCATAACTGCTGCAGGACGGTGGGAGTTAATCTGATTTTTTAGTCTGAGCTGTCAGACCGCCACGGCTGGGCTGTAATACACTCGTGTGCCACCAGAGGTCACTGTGGGATAGAGTCTGTTCAGAGCGGGCTGGCTCTTGTTCGACGCCCCCACTCCTGCAGACTGATCCCGTCACAGAGAACCCCCCTCAGTGTAAAGTGCTTTGCTGTCTCAGCCACATTTGGGATGAACACTGTCGATCTTTGTCTGTAAGACCTGGTGACAAACATTCTGATGAAATAAGCGACACCTCCAGTTGTTTAAAGAAAACAAATAAGTGTGACCAAATGAAAAATAACCAATGTGAGAACAATATTGCACATAATCTTACAAAACTCTAAGACTTTGTCCACAGTGATAGAACAGTGTACAACGAAAGACAACACTAGTCGGTTACAGTGTCTCTGACTTAAGTGATATATATTTACAAAGGTGAAATGACCAGTTCTAAGGCCCATCCATTCGCTAACTCAAAATCTATTAAGACTATTTGAGCAAGGTTGAAATATAACAAGTAACAATATAGTGAACTCATACTTTATTTATTTTTATTTTTTTGCAAAAGACTTGTTTTCAAGGTCTAGCCGTGTCGCAAACACTCCAGAGTTCTCAAAATGTGTAACTGGATGAGAACATTTGACAACCTTTTACCCGACTCTGGCCCTTAAACATGTAAGTCATCACTATAGAAACCACTAAAACAAATATTGCCACATAGTACCATGCAAACAGCAATTATAAAACATTTATAATTCCATAAATAAACTCATTTTCCAATAAACATCAGATATCTTTTCTTTCGAATCAATTTAAAAGGCTCAGTTGATGCAGGCAATGTTGTGGAGACAATCCCAAAATAGCTGTGTTCTTCGAAAAAACGTATGTGAGCGTTAAACGACCCCTTTGTCAGAGTTAATTAAGTGTGGCAAGCATATTAAAGAAAATCTTCACGACTCGGCACCCTAAAATCTTTGAAAACTAGGAGTGGCTGCTTCTTAAGTGTCACAGGTGTCGAAGGTAGGTGTGTTCAAAATTTTGCAAGAAGTAACGTTTAGAAGATAAATGTATATTCATCATTTTAACATATTTTGGTGATTCCTGTAAGTTTCTCGGAAGTAAATGAATAATCTGTTCCATTAAAATTGGTTCACTTTACTTATGGGATTAAAGATGGGGAATAATCAGGAGAGCTTTTCTTTTTAAAAGAGAATAAAAAGGTGGAGGATTTACCCTCGGTTGTAATATTGCATCAAGGTCTTCAGAATAGTTTTCTAGTAAAACAGAAAGCTAACCCTGTCCAGAGCTCTCAGGCCAAATGTTTACAGGTACCACTGATATGTATGTCTATACCCTTTTTCACTTGATCTTTAATGTTGCTTTAGTCATCTCTATTTACAGTACAAATAAATCTATTGATACTAGCAGCATTCACAACATATGGTCCGACATTCAGGCAACACTAAAAACATTTAATACTGTTTGTAAATACTTCTAGAAACTAATTTCTTTTGCTTCCCTATATTGTATATACTGTTTATATATACGTATTTATTTATATTCATATTTCTACTACAAGTGCAAATTACCAAAAATGGTTTCTTCAAGAAAAGAAACTGAAATAACGTAAAGTGACAGCTGTCCTTGGTCAAAGTGAGATGATTCTGGATTTTTTTTTTTAAAGACTTACGAAATCTACATATACAAAATATATGTGTAAAAAAATAAATAACATGATCACATGAGTCCGGATTTCAACTATTGCACATTCCTTCCAAGATGCACTTTTTGAACCTAAATATGATTTGCTCACCAGTCATTCAGTCAAGGACATGTGTGGCTCAAATCTCAGCCAATCTAGAGGATATAAAATCTCACGGGAGAGTCTACTGCATAGAGTTCAGTCTTATGGACAGCGTGGGTTTCCTAGCTACAGAAGCCTTCGTCCTCTCTATTTATTCAGACTTGACCCGGTAAACAATCAATCGTCAAGATGTTCAGAATCTCACCTCGCTAACAGCTGATACGCTTCAAATCTGAGCGTCTGAACATCCGTGCTTTAATCATCATCTACAGGGTGACTTTCAGACTACAGTGTCATTACCGTACGAGTTTCACGTAGACACCTCCAATTTTACTTTTCACACTTTGTTCTCTCGAATCCAATCAATAGAATTTTTATTCACTATTTCTCTTTGAAAAATACTTTGATATGGCACATTTAATGTATCTAAATTAGGCAAAAAAAAAACAACAATATATATTTGAGTGACAATCAAAATGACATAAAACTATTTCATCAATATGTGTAACTCTGGTCTATAAACATAAATACATATTTCTTCTCTAGATGAAAAAATAACATTTAGTATTTTTTGTGTGTAATTGAATGAATTCTTTAAAAGTTCACTTGTTGCACAGTGGTGGACAGTGCAGGTGCAGTGCTTGTCGAGGTTACAATGACAGTTACCATAGTGACAGGAGCCTATGCCATCCAATAAATAAATAAATAAATAGATACATACATACATTTTTAAAACAGCGTTTTTGAGCTGTCCCTCTCAGCGAAGGAGCGTTTTTCTCTCCACTAGAAGCTTTTTAGTATGTCACAAAAATACTACACTCATACTGAACAACGCGTCAGAGCTTGTACATTATTTACAGCGATCCACACGAGGGTCGAGGGGAGCTGGCAATGATAATCTCCTCGGGGTGTTTGTGCCGTCTCCCCACCGTTACACCAGCCTTCTGGTAGGAGACGCACAATTCACAGTTTTAATTACGTGTCAATCTCTACAAACTAAGCTAGCCTTGTTGTATTTCTTTTCTTTTTTTTTTTTGGCACTAACAGTGGCCACGGGGATGAACAGCCACTAAGAAATGAGTTGAAAGGAGGACGGGTAGAAAGACAGTGATGGCGGTAACGGAACGAGTATAAACACACAGTTATAAGGACGCCATGCTAACGAGTGATCGGGTTAAAGATGGCGCTTGCAGCTTTGATCCACGTGCCTTTTCAGTCTTCTTTAAATACCAATGTGAATTTCACAGTTCATGCTTTGCGACTACTCTCCTTCCAGCTGGTGGTCCTGACCGTGGGTAGCAGTGTCTTTTTGCCTTGAGATATTAATCACATCGAAGACAACAGGCTGGTGCGCTGTGGGAGGTGTCCGATCCCCACGAGGGAGCTAAACAGACAATCCTACACCCAGCTCACGTCAGCTGGCAGAATCCGCTGCTATGCCAACACTCGTATTTGAAAAAAAAAAAACAACATCAATAAGAATCGGCAGAGATTTAAACAAAGACGGACACAAACATGCATGTGCGCTCACACCTCACACCCAACACCACCACCTCCTCCTTACCGAGTCACGCAGACTCAACGCCAGTTACTACAGCAGATTACAGACTACAGCGACGAAGTGTCTTTAAGAACAAATCTAGGCAGCATCTAAATGAGTCTACAGCCGGCAATAGTTATAGTAGCTTACTGGACTGGAGTGAAGGGTGTAGTAGCTGAGCATGTGACTCTGCTCATCGGTCGGCTGGGGATGGAGCGGAGGGAGAGGTGCTGAAGCTGAGCTATCGGTTGGGTGTGAGAGGACTATCGTACAGAAATAAACGGTAAGAGTGACAGAACGAAGCAGCGTCGATGAGAGTGGGAGCAAAAGGTGACACCGGAACAGGGCCTAGGGAGGGGTGGGGGGGGGGGGGGGAGGGGGGGGGGGGGGCTGCTCTTTCAGGAGTAGATAGTGATGACCTCGCGGCCGCCTCCGCGGACCAGGAGGACCCGGTTGAGACCATCAGTGAGGACCTCGAGGAACTCCATGTCTTGGAGAGAAGTGTTAAAGAAACTAGAAGAAGCACGTAAGACATAAAAATAAACTGCAAGTCAACAAAACGAAGAATCAATAGTGTGGCGTTTTGGCGAAACTCATTCTCTTTCTTGCTTAAGAGTTCGATGAGAAGACGTCATGACTGTACAATAACTATGAAGTTAGAGCCAGGAGACAGTTAGCTTAGTTTAGCATTAAGACTGTCAACAGGAAAACAAACTCTTTATCCAAAAGTAACAAAATATTAAAGCTCACTATTATCATGTTAAACCATGTTTGTTTAATCCGTACTAACAACCAAAGTCGTGGTTTTACTGTAGGTAAATGTGCCAAAACTATTTGAAGTCTCTCTGGCTGTAGCCTTCTACTGATCGGACAGATGTGCGTTGGATTGATCTTCTCATCTGTCGGCAAGAAAGCGTGTTGGGAAAAACGTCAAACTATTGCTTTAAGACGTTCTGTTTGCATTTACCTGTAGAAGATGAATAAATATTGATTAGCCCAGCGGTAAATTGCTAACAATACCAGATAAACTCTTAATATATTCTCCCACCGACAGGACATCATATTAAAATGATTAAAAAGACTGCTACAAAATGAGGACAGTCAGGAAAATATTTCATAATTAGTTTTATAGAATCAACTGTAACTGACAAAAAAAAGCTTTGCAAGGGGCTGAAAGAGTAATTAAAAAGAATCAAACTCAAACATTACCTGCAAATGTTACTGAAAAGGTTCATCTTCTGCTTGCGATGGCACTGTCTGCTTATGAATCATAATTAGTTATTTGCCTCCTTGCCATCTCGCACATATTTTCTGATAACAAATCACAGTGCCAAGTCAATTAACTTACCGTTTATTGCTCAAAATCCAAAATGTAATCTTATTCCTGGAGCAGGAAAGTGCCTCGAGGCTTAAACTGATTTTGTGTCTGTAGAGCTCTACTTAAAGTTTGTGTTTTTCACACCACCTGAATGTCAATTCATTTATTTCATTCATACTTACGTAGGTCAGTGATTCAACGGCACATGGACTGGGTGTTGTGTTAGACCATCCCTCCTGTTCTTGTAAGTCCTGAGGACAGCTTTCAGATAAAAACATTCCGCTGCATTTTAAGCCTCCAGCTTTGTCCGGAGATACCTGCTCAGTGTCGGAGGTTTCTGGATCTGCCAGTGTGGCATCGTGATATTTGAGAGTTAGGAGGCTTTCACTTCAGCGACCTCAGGCCCCGATCAGAGTACACTTGACCCCAAAGTCTAGTTTGTGGATCGACTTCAAAAGGTGGTCTCGATTGCGGTTCACATCAGGTGTGAAAAGAAGAACTGTATCATTGATAAATAAACATGTAAGTGGACTGCTATTTAACGCAACTAGCAGTCAGCGAGTAGTTTTGAAAGGGCAGGTCGTTTTCAACGAAAGGCAGGTGAGAGGTTTGATATTGTCTCCAAAATATAAACTATTGTAAGCATAACGCAAAGGTTGACTTGTATGGGCTTGGGATCTTGTTATTGGGTAGCGTTTTTCTACACGGTAGCGACAACATTAACAAATGTCACGTAGATGACGCAAGTGTACTCTGGTATGGAACAACGGGACTAAAGTGAAAGCTGGGCGGCGGGGTACAAATCAATCGTACCTAATATGGAAATGGGACAGAAACAATAGTCAGGGTACAAGTGACTCTACAGAGTCGAAGCTTACCACTTGTGTTATGAGAGCAGTGCATTCTGTCTCTAACATACCGGCGTTAAGAACTCCTCTCAGTAAACCTACTTCTGTCCCGCTGAAGGATACAGTTCTCGTCACCTGTCCGGTTCCTGGGTGGCCCGGGCATGTTGAGGAGGACCAGCTTGGCCTCGGAGGACTTTTTGATGATGACTTCATTCAGCCGGAGCGCTGTGTGCATACGTCGCACGTTGGACTGGTTCCTGAGTGAAGACAAGGCCACAGAAAATGAGGTCGAACTGTTTCAGAGCATTGTTACGAAGCATTTTGTGACACTAAGCTGGTCGAGGTGGAAGATGCTCATTCACACGCAAACACACATCTTGGTCACTATGGGATGTAAATGAACTGAATGAGGTTCATAAGGACTTAAATACTTACAGGTTCTCCCACTCGCTGCAGCATGGCAAGAAGAGAAACACACACAATCATCACTACTAAGCTGTGAACGTATTATTTAGTGTTCCTACTCCTTTAACAGCACTCAGGCAGACCTTTTTTGGTGCGACATTGAACAGATACAAAAAGACTCGAAGGTTCTTTTTGTCAGGAACAAGAAGGCAATTCACCTTTACGACAGGTAAAAGGTTCAATGAGCATTTCAAAGCACTCACGGCTTCATGTTGAAGAAGTCTTTGATGCCCTCTGGTGTGGCTGCACCAGGCGGCTTGGCTGGTTCGCCGTCACACTTCTCAGTCCAGGTCATCTGGACCTGCTCCCCGGGGCTCTTAGCCCCCTCTGCGGGGGTCAGCGGGGTGGCCGGGGTGGCGGGGCTGGCTGGGGTGGTGTTGTCGTGGATGAGCTGGACCTGGGCGGGGGGGGACACAGGGGAAGAGGCCGACTTTGACTATGAGACGAGAGGAAGAGAGGACGGATGTGGATTCACACGTACATTACAGACGGAAGGTTGAAAGAGTCACGGTTGAGGTGGAAATGTAGGAATGCAGGTCAAAGTCACAGAGAGCCACAAGTGTTTGAGAGAGGGGGGGAGGGAGAGAAGTGAGATTAGGGAGCCTTACATTGCTCAGTCTGCATTTTATGAAGCTTCTTTTGCAGTAACATGGGCTGTGATTGAGGCAGGACAAAAGTGAATCGCTATCACATTACCTTGAAATCAGTTAAACAACCAAGCCCGGGCTGAATGTACCTTCTACTACCATTCTGTAGTACTGCTGTACCCTCTTCAGTCCATCTCCCAACATGTCTAACCATTCCTTTAAATCATGTAAAGTTGTAGTATTTCTGTTACACCAAACTTCTACTTATAGTTTTCCTTTACTTTGTGTTTTGTTCTTCTATGTTATCCAGTTTTTGTTTGTCATGAAATCCCCCGGGTGGCTGGTTTTATCCCATCGCTCCCTTTGTTCCCTTCTTGCTCTGTGTTAAATCACCAACATGTGAGCACAAACTTTACACTTCAAACTGATCCCGGCCGTGCTCTACCTCTTCCTCAGGCTTCTCCTCCTTGCTGGCTGCCGGCGGGTCCTCGGTCACACTCAGCTGGGTGGTCACAGCGGCCGGGTTCTTACGGCGGATCGACCCGCGGGATGAATCGGTGATGCTCTGGATCTGTGAAGACACAGATGAAGCCAAACGAGGAGGGAGAGAGATATGAGAGGAGATTCAGAAATGGGTTTTTACATTTATTTATTTGATATCACCACAATGACGTATAAAATAAAAGTTAAGTCAAAGTGAGAATACTTCCTTTGCACTTATCAAATTGACTGATGTGGAGAACCAGGCAATCTTAAAGTTCAACAAAGAACTCGGAGGAACTAATAATAGTACAACACTGAGATCAATATCTTTTGTTTTCCACATCTGTCAAAACGCCAACATGCTGTGATTCACAAAAGCAAAGCGGTTGCTGCTGTAGTCAACACGGACAGAGAGGGGAAATATGGTGTCCCACTGCTCCGGTTTAACCGTAGATATGCTTTTGTCCAGAGGGGTTTATGTGTCACGTCCGGTCAAATCATGTCAGCCATGCCAAGTCGGCCCGTCAAGTCTTGTCAAGTCTCTGTGTGCATCTTTGAGCGCATTTCAAAAACAACAAAACTTTCCTACCTCTCTCTCACGCTCATTCTTGGTCATTTTGATCTGTTTCAGCATCTGCGACCGTTGTTCCATCACCAGGGTCTTCTCGTAGGTGTAGGCTGAGATGTCACTGTCATGCTGAGATGAAAGAAATGGACGTTACATTTTCTTTCACTATTCCTGTTTCATACTCATTCACCAGTAGTTGTCTCTCTGTCCCTGCTGAATCCTGGATCAGATGTGCTTTGAACACAAGCATCAACTAGCCAACCGACGAGTCGACCGACCACGTCTCAAAGCTAATGTGTTTATGTCTGTTATTCTTGGCCGCACCAGAAGGCAGGGTGAAAACCTGTCTTTACAGAGGAGGAGCGAGACGGGATGCATCGTACAAATGGGGATAACAGAGCACACTTTCAGGCAATCTTTCCTCGAAGGCATTGATTGTGTTGAGCTTGGTTGGTTGTACGCACAAAAATGACAAAATAATTGTGTGAAAACTGGAGAAAAAGTGTAGAGTAAAGTGAGTGTGAATGTCTTAATGTTGATTTGTTGGACACATTCCCAATTGTTTTTCAGATTCTCGTTTGACCATCCAACTAGCACTTTGGTTTTACCGATGGCTTAACACACTAGTTCATGCTGAACCTCGCAACAGTGCAGTTTCCAGGGCAGTAATGCTTCCGCATCGCTGGGTTCTCTTATTATGTAACCAGCTGAGCTCCACTGAGATATAGATGTACTTATTTTTCAGTGGTTACAGAAATGTAAAAAGTCAGTCTAGTCTTGAGAAAACTCACCATTTCTACAACTTCCACCATGGCTTCAATACGGAGATGATAGAGGAATGTGGTCAGGTCTTTTTTCATCTGGATGCTGTTGTCGTCCAACTGGGCCACAGTGAAGATGCGCATCTTGCACTTCCTCCAAACCTGAGCAGTAGAAACAACCCTGCTGACATACTCGTACAGAATTGTTCTGTTACTCCTTTATGTTGGTTTTTTTATCATTAGTAAATCTTGTTTTATATGATTTGATTTGGCAAATTAGAACATGAAACCTCGCCACACAATACTACAGAAACTATTTCTGAGCCGCATCTCAGAGTATTAAAACTGCAAACTGTAAGAATTTAGACCATGCTTTGCTTGTTTGTACTATACTTGAAATATGTACTTTGTTTTGTAATATTAACTGATGGCACGGTACCTTGTGCTGGCGGAGAAGGAAGGGCAACAGCATCAGCATGCCTCCATCATGGACGATCCACCATACGTCAATGTGACCCTCAGTGAAGCGCTCTCCGTTGGACGGGAAGGCCGAGATGTTCTTCGGGACGAGCATAGCCAGGTCAGCGGCGGTGGTTTCTCTGACCAACTCTGCAGAATGGAGACATACAGAGAGCCAAAGTATTAGCGATACTACTTCTGTTATTGTTACAGTTATTTGATTATGATGACTATTCACATTTTTAAGGTGTGTTGGATTTTGTTTTGCATGGCTTTCTTGTAGTTAATTGGCGGTGCTTGACCTCAATGGGAAGCTTTGACATTGATCAGCTACTCTTTTTATTCGAGAGATTTTCATTTCACCTCCACCCTCAAACAGAGGCTAATAGCTGGATGAGCTGCATCGGCAGAGCCAACGCTTTGACAGGATGGGTTTATTGGTTTATTTGCTTTCCCAATGACCCACCAACAAAGTTCCTCCAGGCCTGGTGCTCGTCTCCCTGCCTCCAGTTGCGTGGCCAGGACACCAGCACAGCGTTATGTTTCAGGCCTCCTAGCCCACTGGCCTGGAGGAGGTGGGAGGTGGCGTCGCGCAGGTTCGAGGACACGGTCACCTGACAGAAGCCCTTCACCTTCTCAGTCTCCATCAGTTTACGCAGCGCCTAGAAAGACGAGACGGAGAATAAACGTTACCACGGTTCAGAGAACAGGTGAAAGGCTAGCTTAGTGTTAGCCTCTGGCTCGCAGGGTTGTTTTGCCCGAGAAACTCACCAATAAAACATCCGAGAACCAAACCATTGTAAATGATCCAGTATTTAAAGACACCTGCCTTTTGCACTTTTGACTTTGATGTGATACTCACAGAACTATATATATATATATATATATATATATATATATATATAT